CACTTTTTTCCCCCCAAAAGGAGGGGGAAAAAGTGCCTGCGTCTTATGGAGCGAATCCCGACGCCCGAGACATGCAGTTTCGGGCGCCGGGCGAGTAGTAGGAGCCACTGCTCGTTTAATACGAATGATCTAACGAGATCACTCGTATTAAAGCCGAGCAGCGGCAGCGGCGATCGAGTTCAGCAGCAGGAGCCACTGCTCGTTTAATACGAGTGATCTAATGAGATCACTCGTATTAAAACCGAGCAGCGGCGACGATCGAGATAACCATAGAGCAGACGAAGAATAGACGTTATTCGCCTGCTCTGTGTCATCACTGAGACCGTGGCGCTGTAATCACAGCGCCACCTGTCTCAGCGGTCGCTAACTGCAGCTTCTGTCACAGCTTCTGTCATAGAAGCTGTCACAGAAGCTACAGTCTCGAGTGCTCCATAAGGCGCGCCGGACCTCCCTGCGTCCTATGGTCCGGTGCGTCTTATGGACCGCAAAATACGGTAATTACAGACTTCAGTTAAATGCTAATAGTGTTTTATGTACAATATTGTACAATAAAGTGAAACAAGTTTTTTTTTTCCAGCAAATCCTCCTCAGTGATGGCAATAGTGGTTGCAGTTCGGGGCCCAGCCTCAGAGGCCCTTTCCCCTCTACTTTGTCGCTCAGCTCCCTTCTCAGACACCATTCAAATTCTATAGGGCGAACAGAATACAAGGAAACTGTCTGTCTTATAAAGGTTTTAGTGATTTTGATTGCTTCACCCCAGTGTAGGCAGTGTTTGCAGACCCAACAATAAAACTGCAGAAAATTGGAGTGTAAGCTCACAGGCAATAAACACCTGATCTTCCTCTGTATATGTAGAGATTTCATTTTATTTGTGTGTTTATATTTGTATTTAGGCAGCAGCAATGGCCACCTCAGCTGGTACTGTTACTGAAGATGCTGTGGAGGATGACGAAGCAGATGCAAGGATGTCTCAGACTTCTTCAGAGTTTTCCAAGCCAAGTTCTAAAAGTGCTAAGGAAAGAAGGAATCGTAGAAAGAAGAGAAAACAAAAAGAATTGTCTGAAGGGGAGGAGAAATGCGATAATGAGAAGGTTTACAAATCAGAATCAGAAGATGGCATGAGAAGAAAAGGTATTTGGTATCCTGACAATAGGCTGGGAAGAAAATTTTCAATAATGGATCAGGTACTGTGGGAAACTCCTATTTGATATTATAAAGTACATGTTAAGTTATCACTATGTTTTAATATATTAGCATGACCAAGAATATGGGCATACAGAGGTTTCTGTTTCTTCTTAGATATACTTAGATATACTCAGATCATTATACCCAGACTACAAGCATTGTTTAAGTTGCAATTAAATGGACCAACACTATACACTAAAGTTTAGCTATTCCTCTCCACTGGAGAGTGGCCTACAGGATTTTATTACATATCATGTATTAACTTTTCACATTGGTCATAAGAGTAAAAATTGCATACAGCGGAAATGTCCAACTTATTTTTTTTTTCTTGCTATTTTAGAAATTGATGTTGTGTAGATGTAGTGTAACGTAATGTTCCAAGTTTTTGTCATTGAGGATTCACAGTTGACACACACTAGCTTGATATGTTTGATCTATGGATTACTAATCCATTATTCTTACAGAGCTACTTATAGCACAATTATTCTGCATATCCATGGAGGCATTAAAGTCCATTTCCACCTTTTGTGGAGATATAAAAAAAAAAAATGCCAGCAATGTACACCAAGTGTACTTGAAGCAGGCATATGAAGTTGCTGTATATGACCACATAAACTTGTGCTTTTTCTTAACCTTCCTCTTCATATCCTCTTGGAAATGGTTACCTCTGTGCTGTGCAAGAAATCTCTGAGCTCTCCACCCCCCATTCGTTAGTATTCATAGTGGCAACTCCCCTGGACAGTGTATTGTGCGCAAAGGCAGAGCTGGTGTTTAGTGATTGTGTTACACAGAATCAGAGGGAGGGAGGCAGCTGTTTACAGCCTGCTTTACAATCTGACCCCAGAGTCGGACTGAATTTCCTGTGTAGAAAATGTTCAATTTCTTGGATTCAGGCCTAATAAAAAGTTAATAAAAAATGAGGAAAACCTGCAATGTGAGTCATTAAAATGTCCACACATATACATAATCACTGCACCTCAACATTACCACAATAAATGTTAATCACTTACAAAAGTGGAAATGGACTAAAGCTTCAATTGTCAGTAAGAGCAGGCATAATGCTAACTGGCTATAAAGACACTGTCTTTTATACTTATAAAAGACATAAGACAAAGAAATGTTAACCCTCAAACGCTAACCCGAGTAAACGCTATTTAAACTGCAAGAAGCATTTTTTATTTTTTTTAGCTTATGCCATGTCAATGGGAACATGTAACAAATATAAGATAAGTGTTATCCTATTTTGGCAGCGAAGGTGGAAATACACTTTAATATGTGAGACAGTATGACTGTGATAAATATACTAGGTTGTAAACTCCTGTCAGAATAGGAGCAGAATTGTTTTTACCTGTAGAGCTGGAGAATATTTAAAAAAAGTCCAGCTATATCAAAATGATCACATCTATCAATTTAAATGACATACAGGCCAGGAATAAGAATATTCCTTGTTCTGTCTGCATTCATTAGTGGTGTTTTGTTGCTATGATTTTTAATATGCTCATTGTAAAACATATTGCATTGGATGAATGTCCAATCTACAGTAAGTACAGGATGTGTTAAGTTGGCCATACACCTATAGATTGTCTGCAGATTTTGTCAGATGGAAAAAGTGCAACAGATTCCTTCATCTACGCTAAACTGTATATGGATGGAGGAATCTCCCACTGGGACTGGCTTCAGTATCTTGTGAATCAGTTCCACTGGCTCTCAAACTACTTGAACAGTGCCTCCATCCAATCAAATTGTTCAGTTATTTTGACAGCCAGTGGGGCCAACTAGCAAGATACTGAAGTTTAGCCCAGTGGGAGATTCCTCCATCCACACAGTTTAGCATAGATGGAGGAATCTGTTGCACCTTTCCCATCTGACCATAGAAAATCTGCAGATAATCTATAGATGTATGGCCAGCTTTAGAGTTTGGTCCTAAAGGGAAAATGTTACTAAGAGTGTACCGATTAAGATGAATCTTTCCTCACCTATTAGCATGAATAATGGGTACCACTAGTAGTCTTGTTGGAATGGGTTTTATTTTTTACAATAGTTAATATCTCAGCCCCCTGGATACGAAGAAAGACAAGTGATTGCTTATTTTGTAATGCCTAAAAATCCAACTCCTCTTTTAATATCGTAGAAAAGTGAAGTTGGACTTTAACCCTACTGCACTCATAATTTTTAGAGAAAGGTTTACATTTTTTTAAATCCTTAAGTGATTGGCCTTTTCCCCATTTGTAAAAAGAAAAATAAATCCACAAAATATTCCCATAATGATTGGTAACAAACTAAAATACCTGGTGTATTTATTAGTTGTAAAACATTTCCACAGGGATACAAAAGTCTCTTGGAAATATAAAAATGGATGAAATGCATCACTGGCTTAAATTCATCCTAAAGGGACACAACATTAGATATTATCACAGTAACAACGCAAGGGACTCCCCCCTCTGTTGCACACAGACAAGTGGACTCTAGCCTTACGCTAAAATCAGCTACAGGTGTGAATGAGTCCTTACAGAGAATTAATCTTCTTAAGTGGGACACAGACAGCAGTAAAGACCTGATCACACAGAAGACCACTCTTTCAAATTCTAAAAAAAGTTTATCCTTTAGTTATGCTTTAAGATTCTCTTGTGTTCTCCCCTTTGCCTTGGGGCGCTCTGTAGAGCACAATGTAAAAACTAACCACAGAAGACGCTGCTTAACAAGGAGCAGTTGCAGGTTTTTTTTAAAGAAATGTCACCCTACCTATCAAAAATTAAATTTAAAATCGCTAACACTTGTCCCTGTATGAAAATGAAAAAAAAAACATTCTAGTTTATGGAGTGCATGGACGCCGCCGTCTTGAAATGAGATCTGGTGTGTGCGCAAACATGCTTTGGATCCATGGCATGTCTGCATATGTGCTGGATCTCCCACACATGCGTAGACCACTACTTTTCTCTGCCAGCACTCTTAACACCTGGCAGAGACCCACAGCATGTCTGCACATGCATGGAGTCTGTGCATTCACAGGCATGCTGCTGGTCTTTGCCTGGTCTAGGCAAGAATACGAGAAGTAAATGTACTAAAAATAAAATAAGTCAGTGTCTGTTAAAAAAATTTTTTTGGATTATGCAAGAGGGAGGAGAGGAAGATGACAGGTGAGAGGATGTTATTTTTATGGATAAAGGGCCACTGTAATTGTAAGACTTCCTGCAGAAAGCACAACATAAAATATAATTGTATAACAAAAATAGTGAATGTAAAGAATAATTCTTATATAAACCTTTAACATGAGAAAGTTAAAGATAAATGTGCTATTAAAGTGATGCTACTAGATAACGATCCCATGTAAGATACAACTTTGGCATAGTGAGGAATAACAGCATTTGAGACTGAATAACTATTTTAAATGTGAATAAGGGGAAAATGTAAACCAGAGAATCACAATGACCTAGACAGAAACGTTTAGCAAAGATCAAATTGTATACAATATATAAAGTATTGTTTGAATGTGTAATTGATAAAAAAAAATTCTCTCTGTATTCCAGTCTTTGCTAAGCATCCCAGGCTCTCCCTACCTGTCCAGACACAACAGCAAAAGCAGCATCTTTAGTTTTCGGAGAAGTTTCAGAGAGCCTGAGACTGAAAATGAGTTTGCAGATGATGAACATAGCACGGTGGAGGAAAGTGAAGGCCGAAGAGACTCTTTATTTTTACCAGTCAGAGGTCACAACCGGCGTAACAGTTACAACAGTGGATACAGTCAGGGCAGTCGGTCCTCCCGCATCTTTCCAAACCTGCGAAGGAATGTGAAACGCAGCAGTGCAGTGGACTGCAATGGCGTGGTGTCATTAATTGGTGGTCCTGGCGCCAATATTGGTGGACGTCTTCTGCCTGAGGTGAAAATAGATAAGGCAGCTACTGATGACAGCGTAAGAAAGTCTATAAGTAGTTTAGTCTAGGCATGGCGGTCAACCCTCGTGCTTCCTGTATGCCGCCCTCAAAAATACGTCTGGATCCTTCCCTGGTGGAATGAGTACTGGTTTTCCTAACACTATGCTAACCTTTTATGTAAACCTTTTACTATATCTTATTTAGCATTTTTATGTTGTATTTAGTTTCCTCAGTTAACCTATTTTAATGTGTCTAACCTGAAGACAAAAACATGCTGGAAATTTACATATTTTTTTTCATAAATAAATACTGTTGCCTCAGTACAGGATTAAGGTTTATGATTAAAGTGTACGTGTTGCTTTCACATTTGATGCAGCCTTTTTTTTTGTCTGCAAACAAGAATAATTATGAAAGCATGATGCATACTGTCCCTAAAGAATTAGTGATATATTAAGTTTGTAATTTCCAGTTTGCTTTTGTTTCTTTAAATACCCGTGACTGAAATATCTCCTAGCTTAGTTATGTTCTTATTTACTACCTAATCCAGATAGCATGTTAGCCTAATTTATAACCTCTCTGATCTCCCTCTCTAACCTAGCATGGGTATTCGAAAAAATAGCATGATGCATGTTCATATAACTAATGCAAAACACATACTGGAAAGAAAAGGATTATAAGTGGAACACTTCAACATACAGTTTTTAAGGGAAAATTAATTTTGGCAATTACTTTACCAAATGTAGTTTAGTTTACCTGTAAATTAAGTTCAAAGAGAACGTTCCCCTGTGTTTTACACCAGAAGGTAAACAGGAACTGTGTAACTAGTTTGAGGACAGTGCCTAAAATTAGCTATACAATATATGTATCTGTTTTGTAAGTTTAGTGTAAAAAAAAACCCAAAACAATAAAATGTAGAACTCAATACATTAGTTGCTGACTGTGGAATTAAACGATAGGACATATCCACATTTTTTTTTTTTTAGATGTGACCCCGCTTTGTAATAAGACAATATTAAAAAAATAAATAAAATGTACATGCAAGCAAATTGTATGGTTGGATAATTGTAGCAATCAGGCTACAAAACATGTTGTTTTTAAAGTAGTACTGCAAGTAGTACTGAAAGCATAGGCAAAAGGTTTTTCTCTAGCTTCAGTCTTGCTTTCACTTCCTTTGTTGTCAACTGGACATTAAGAGTGGTGAAATCTCCCTAACAATGGAAAAAATATTTTTGTTACGTCCTCTTCTTTTTAGATCTTTTTTATGCCTGGTTTACACTTGCGTGTTGTGGGAATGCGCGCCCCATTCTCGCTCGTTTGCGTAAATTTGTGTACCGTGTTTGCCTTCGATTTCAATGAGTTCATCGACGTGTGGCAAAAAGCTCATGCAGTATTTTTCACGTTACACGATTGGCGCATTTTGCTTTCGCGTTTTCACGCACTCAAATGCAGAGCAAAAATGCGTGTCTTGCTGACCACATTTGGGGTGTCATTAAGAACGCATGGTGCGCTTTTCCACGAACGAGTGCTGAGCATGCACGTATACACGGAATGCACAGTTGTGAACCAGGCCTTAAACCTGAATTCCAGGAACATAAAAACAAGCAGGTTTGGGTTAGTTAAAAAGTATATTTTTTAAAGTAGCTAGTGTACATATCTAAATTTGACTTGATATTTGCTTCTTGCAAACCCCTGTACAGCAGATCTCTGGCTTGCACAGGAAGAAGCAAGGAAGAGGTGCCAATTAGTTCAGTTGCAGTGCTCATGTGCTGAACATGCTGATAGGAAAATAGAGCAGAAGAGTAACAAAGAGATGAGCTTATTAGTCTGCTGCTTCTCCTTCACTGTCCAATCACAGGCTGGGGCCCGAGACTAGACCTATCGCTTAACTACAGTATTGACAATTCAGGTCTAGGGACTGGGTGTACTGTCTGATAAGAATGTGTAAATTTGAGGACTAGATGGACAGAAATACAGTATGTTAAATATGTTATTCAGAACGTAGCTTTTATGTTTTAAGAACAAATGATATGTTTTCTGTCAGAATGCAATAATGTCTCACTTTGACCTTAGCGAACTACAGCTTCTATTCTCATTCTAGGACATTTTAAAAACAAAACATGTAGCTTCATACTTGGTATAACAATCACAAAACTGTTATGTAGTTAAGAGAACTATGGGGTAAGTGTTTTCCCCCATAGTTCTCAAGGGTCACGGGAGGACATATACTAGCGTCCTCCCATGACCCAAAGCTCAGTATATCACGAGCTACAGCTCACGATATACTGAGACCGCCGCAGCCAGGACAGATCCCGACAATGCTGTCTGGATCCGCCCAGCTGCGTGAATGACAGCTAGCTCTGCCTATCTAGAGGCAGAGCCCGCTGTACCTGCCCCCTCCCCCGTACGTTGGCACTGGAGGATCGGAGCGGGGAGTGGGGGAATTCCTGCAGGGAGCGATGACAGTAACGGCTCTCTGCAGGGACATGATCGAGAAGTGAGCGAGCGACGGTATGTGTTCGCTCACTTCCCGATCCATTGAGCCGAAGTGTCACAGTTTCATTGTCACGCATCGGCTCGAACTATGAGGATGTGTGATTTTCACTCACCTCATAGTTTTCCTTTAATGAACAAATCTAATATTAAGTTTTATCAGTTTAAGTTAATTTATCATTTCCTAATTTCACTATGCTATTTTGCAGCCTTCAACAGAGGTAGAAATAAAAAAAAAGCCTCCAGGGTCTTCTCTTCGGGTGTCAATTGACCAGCTGAATGCATCATTTGGAAAGAAGAACAGAGCTAACAGTGTTATTAGTGTCGTGACACAGACTCTTGTGGAAGGTATATAATACTTTTTGTCAGGTCATATTTAAAGTAAACTTGTTGGCAAAAGAACACGAATGAAATTTAATCAAGGTGGTTGTACATTTCTCGCAATAGCTTCCCATCCATCTTTGGAGGCCCAAAACCCAGACCACTTTGCATCTAACTATTTACCTGACACATCTGCATGATGAGTGACCTCAGTGACCGATGCAGTGAAATGCAGAAGGTGGTTGAGGCTTGCAGGCCAGCAACATTTTTTGTACAATACATTATATATCTCCTAGGAATGTGTGTTGTGCTTCTTCTTTCCTGTATACCTTATACTGTAGAATTTAAAGCTAATATTACTGTCATTACTTTATCTGATGGACATGTATACATATAGATATTGCAGATTCAAACTAATATAATTTTATTCGAACTGTGGTTTTCTGCAGTTAGAATGTGTAACTGAATTACTGTAATGACCACAATTTGCATTCAATTTCCTCTCAGCTGTATGACGATACTGGGTTTATGTTAATGTTCTGTGTATTCCTTCTGTCTGTAGAACTGGAAGAATCTCAGCGGAAGTGTCCACCTTGTTGGTACAAGTTTGCAGACACTTATTTGATATGGACATGTTGCCCTCTGTGGATACGGATCAAGACAGCAGTAAACTCGTTTGTAATGGATCCTTTTGTGGACTTGGCCATAACCATCTGTATTGTCCTTAATACTTTATTCATGGCAATGGAACACTATCCAATGACAGAGCATTTTGAAGGTGTTTTATATGTAGGAAACTTGGTAAGATTTTTCGTTTTTAACCACCCATTGAGCTCTATAATTTGTGTATTTTTTTTAGTTTAGGATAAAGTGATTTAGGTCTCAATTTTAAACATTTTATAAACATTTATAAACATTTTTAACACCTGTGGTTAGATGTTTCTTTACCCTGGTCCGGGCCATGACAACCTTGGCGAGAGCTAAGTGCTGGGCTTACTGGCTGTAATCCAAGGAATTAATTTCTCATGTAGCACTTGCAGGACTTTTTTTGTCACACTGTCAACAATTGCAAATAAATATATATTGAGAATATTTTTTTTTTCTCAAATCTTCAAAATGTTAAATAAGTTGGTTAGGGGCTAAAATCCTTATACTTGTACAATACAAAGCATTGTTTTTCTTTAATACTGTACATATATTTGCAGACCAGGAGAATACATTATTTAGTAATTTTAAATCTAAAGTTACACTATATTGTCAAAATTATTGGGACGCCTGCCTTTACATACACAAACTTTAATGGCATCCCAGTCTTAGTCCGTAGGGTTCAATATTGAGTTGGCCCACTCTTTGCAGCTATAACAGCTTCAACTCTTCTGGGAAGGCTATCCACAAGGTTTAGGAGTGTGTCTAAAGGTGCCCATACACTGGTCGTGGGAAATCCCGCGACCGTTTCTAATGTACGGTCGCACGACTTTTGTATTTCGAGCATGTTGGAAAACCAGCCGAGAATTTTCGGCTGGTTTTTAACATGATCGAGAGATAACAGCCGAACGGGCCGGTGTGCACACTGCCCGCTCAGCATTGCAGCCATTGGAAGCCCGCCCCTCAGGGGGACGGGGTTTGCGATGATCGCAAGTACGATCTGCCTGTCCAAGATTGGCAGATCGTACGTTTTCTTACGTTTTTTAAGTACTTTACTACCCTCGCAAGACAAAAGTCTTGCGAGGTTTGTAAAGTGTATGGGCACCTTTAGGGAATGTTTGACCATTCTTCCAGAAGCGCAATTGTGAGGTCAGGTACTGATGTTGGACAAGAAGGCCTGGCTCGCAGTCTCCGTTCCAATTCATCCCAAAAGTGTTCTATCGGGTTGAGGTCAGGACTCTGTGCAGGCCAGTTAAGTTCCTCCACCCCAAACTCGCTCATCCATGCTTTTTTTGAGCCGACATTATCACAGGTGGAACTGAACGTTTTCGCCAGCACCTGGATTTCCACTATAGGAATCTGACTACAGAATTGGAGCAGTGAGTTTTGTGGACTATTGTGGTTTGTTCTACAATGGTATGCATTTAGTCCTAGTAGCTACATTTCACATACAAAATGTTAAGTTAGAAATGTGAGCGGTTTCATATTCCTGCCTCACAAAAAATCTTCTTGTAGCCATATTAGATGATAACTGAAGCTCCTGCTATACTTCCAGGCCAACACATACACTATATTGCCAAAAGTATTGGGACGCCTGCCTTTACACGCACATGAACTTGAATGGCATCCCAGTCTTGACCATTCTTCCAGAAGCGCATTTGTAAGGTCAGGTACTGATTTTGGACAAGAAGGCCAGGCTCGCAGTCTCCGATGTAATTCATCCCAAAGGTGTTTTATCGGGTTGAGGTCAGGACAGTCAAATTCCTCCACCCCATACTCGGTCATCCATGTCTTTATAGACCTTGCTTTGTGCACTGGTGCGCAGTCCAGTTGGAGCAAGAAGGGGCCATCCCCAAACTGTTCCCACAAAGTTGGGAGCATGAAATTGTCCAAAATGTGTTGGTATGCTGATGCCTTAAGAGTTCCCTTAACTGGAACTAAGGTACCAAGCCCAACCCCTGAAAGACAGCTCCACGCTAGAAACCCCCCTCCACCAAACTTAACATTTGGCACAATGCAGTCAGGCAAGTACCGTTCTCCTGGCAACCCCCAAATCCAAACAGGTCCATTGGATTGCCAGGCAGAGAAGCATGATTCATCACTCCAGAGAACACATCTCCACTTCTCTAGAGTCCAATGGTGGCATGCTTTACACCACTGCATCCGACGCTTTGCATTGCACTTGGTGGTGTAAGGCTTAGATGCAGCTGCTCGGCCATGGAAACCAATTCCATGATGCTCTCTATGCACTGTTGTTGTGCCAATCTGAAGGCCACATGAAGTTTGGAGGTCTGTAACTATTGACTCTGCAGACAGTTGGTGTCTTCCTCCTGCGCTGACCCCGCTCTATCATTTTACATGGCCTACCACTTCGTGGCTGAGTTGCTGTTGTTCCCAGTTGCTTCCACTTTGTTATAATACCACTAACAGGTGACCGTGGAATATTTAGTAGCAAGGAAATTTCACAGAACACCTGAATCAAATGATTTGGAGGAGTGTCCCAATACTTTTGGAAATATAGTGTATGTTGGAATTAGGAAGTAAGTAGTCAGGATTATAGCAGCACCTTTCCATGTACTGCAGAAAATAACATGTCTACTAAACCACACTATCTAATGCATACTGAACTTAGATGCAATTTGTTTCAGATTTCACTTGCAGTGTTGCTGTTGCTAAAATCTGGTAGTGCATAGTATTCATACCAAGAACAAACTGCCAGAGCTGCTAGGATCACAGATTATTGTATGTACATGCGTATGATTTTTTGTATTGATGTATGGGTTCTGATGGGAATGTGCTATTTTCTATAATTCAATCAATGTAAATCAAAAATAGCGATTATTTGCTTATGTGAAGTGTCTAACTCAATAGTACCAACTGGTAAAACTGACTCTCTACTAAGTATGGCCAGTTTGCCATTTACCTAGATAACAGTTATGCAGATAAAGGGGTCTATACAAGCACTCTAGTTGTGTAACTGTTCCTTTAGTGGATTTACACTTATTTATGTAGAACCCTGACCTGCATTCCAGCCTTATACTTGCCTGTCTCCAATCAGCCGAGATCTCAGCTGTGCAGCCCTTCAATGTACAAACTCATCATTGATAAAAATGTGTGGGCCCAATGGAAAATCTTCTGACAAGAGGCTGTGCATTACTTAGTAAGCCACTGAGATCTTAGCAGATTGAGGGCATTTAAACATAAGGCTGGAAGGGATGGTGGGTAGCTAACAAGAATAAGTATAACTGCACTTTAATTACTATTCCTAAATTATATGCATCAGATTGTGCTGGTATGATACTATGGGAATGATTTATGAATCATTTGCCCAGCCATACACTGCCTGAACGCTGGTCGCACGATATTACTGCCACTAGATGGAGCCGAGGAGCATAGGAATTTCCCATGCTCCTCTGCGAAATGTCAACCTTACAAATATAATGAACTATATCATTTTCTTGCAGGTGTTTACTGCAATTTTTACAGCTGAAATGTTTTTGAAGTTGGTTGCAATGGATCCATATTATTACTTTCAAGAGGGCTGGAACATTTTTGACAGCTTTATAGTGAGTCTTAGTTTAATTGAGATGGGCCTTCAGGGTGTGGAAGGCCTTTCGGTGCTACGTTCTTTTCGACTGGTAAGTCTGATTTAATGTTCATGTAAATCTTAATTCTTTGTAGTTTCCCTTCATATTTAATTCAACTACTGTAGCCATATTGATATAAGGTCCTATCCGGATGGTGTCTTTGGGTAACTGTACTTCAAATACATTTCTTCTTTGGTAAGTGCATTTTCAAAAAGACACCTGAAATGGCAGCCCCATTATTCTCTAATGACAGAGTCACTTTAAAGCTGAACTTTTGTATTAAACAAATATTGTCAAAATATAAGGCAAATCTGTGCAATAATTCAGTGTGAAACTATTCCAGTGCGCAGAAGCATCCTGTAATAAAGATCAGTCACTACTACCCTATCTCCCTCTGCAGGGTGGGTGGTCTTGTCTCCGCCCTCCTGTAGTTTTCTGCAGGCAGCCTGTAGTGGGTGAACAAGCTGGGTCCCTCCCACAGCTCTGCTCTCTGCACAGACTGTATATAGCACAGTGATGATGTCAGTGCTACTTTTAAATTGATACCTGGGTTTATAAATGCATCTACTGCACACAAAGTGGATTTATATCCTTTGTGGCTATTAAAGAATATATTTGAATTAAAGTTTTTGTGCCCTGAGTTTATTGGTATACACAGTTCAGTTACATATAGCCATCCTTGAAACCGCACCATTCAGGGCCGGGCCCAGGGGTAGGCAGAAGATAAGGTTAACTTGGGTTCTTCAGCAGGAGGGGAGCTCAAAAAGGACAGGACCTGCAACCTTTGCTGCCAAAGTCATTCACAGCTCATGAAGGTAGGGGGGCCCAATTTGGTCTTTCCACCTTGGGTGCTAAAGTGCCTTGTCACAGCATTGGCACTAGTACATAATTCTATTTTAGCAGACTCCTTTGCATTCTAGCATACTACTACTACTATTAACTATTTGAAAGAACCATAATAGTTTGTGCAATTTATTAACAGGACATTTTATGTTTTATCAACAGCTGAGAGTCTTCAAGCTGGCCAAGTCCTGGCCTACTTTAAATATGCTTATTAAAATCATTGGAAACTCTGTTGGTGCCCTCGGTAACCTGACCGTTGTCTTGGCCATTATTGTCTTCATTTTTGCTGTGGTGGGAATGCAGTTATTTGGCAAAAGTTACAAGGATTGTGTCTGCAAAATACACCCAGATTGTATACTACCAAGATGGCACATGAATGATTTTTTCCACTCGTTCCTTATTGTCTTCCGTGTTTTATGTGGAGAATGGATTGAAACCATGTGGGACTGCATGGAGGTCGCCGGACAAGCAATGTGTCTAGTTGTCTTCATGATGGTCATGGTTATTGGTAACTTAGTGGTTAGTATGTTTATCTGCTTGACTTAGTGAGTTATATTATGTACTTTTCTTTTCATGGTCCTGCAAACCATTCTGTAGAGGCTTGCCATAGACGGGATAATCGTCTAGGCAACCTATACTATGGAATCAAACAATCAAAACATTTCCAGTCAAAACAATGCATTGTTAGAGAATGGAAATGCTGCTGTGCTTCTTGCCTTTTCTCATTAGAAATATATGGAGAATTGAACAGGGCCATATAACACGGCAAACCCATAAATTTGAGTGGAGCCTGTCAAAGGAGGGAGACTTCCCCAAAGGTCTTTGGTGCCTTCCTCAACCAGAAATGGAATTGAATACTGTCATAGCCCAGCTTCCTGACCAATCAGGAAGCCGGGCAACGCTCCATTACACCGCACCCGGCTTCCTGATTGGCCAGAAAGCCGGCTCCTTGCTTCCTCGTCAACTGGTGACGAGGAGTATTGAGACGGCTTCCCTGCTGATCAGGAACGAGTCATTACACACCGCCTGGCTTCCTTAATGGGACTTCCGGTATTGGTATTCGGTATCAGTGCATCCCTACTTCTTTCCCTCTCGTGCTAGTGTTGCACCACCCATCCCTGACACATGGATTCCAGCCACTTCCTGAGTTCTATGTGGGAATGGGTCTGCTTCCTATAATAAGATCAGTTTTGAACACAAAACAGTATATGGAAGGCTGTCAGTATTGCGATCATTACAGTGAATAAAACATTTTTTTTTCCATTTTATATGAATATTTTACCAAAAGCACATTTTTTCTTTAAACAAGACATTTAGTGTGGCCATACTCATACCGCCTGTGTTAATGGGCTTCAATGGGCAAATGCAGTGGTATTTTTCACATGCTTTTGAGATTATACACAATCTATTGCAAGTTCATTTGGCCTGCCCTTAACTGGCCTCTGACCTACTTAAGGCTGCTTTAGCATTCTTATCAACTTGAATGGGCAGAGAAGCAGTTCTGAAGTGGACAAAAGCCCATCAATACCTGCCCTTATACAGTTTATTACAGTTCCATTATCCACTTTGAAATCTGGTTGATTGACAATTTTCTTGCACATGTTAATTTTTATAAAAATACAGTATTATAAACCACTAAAAAAACAATACTGATTTTTTTTTATACACATGTAGTTAAACACATGTAATGCACATATAACACATTGGTACTGTATTACTAATTGTATTGTGGGTCTTTTGGTAGGTGTTGAACCTGTTCCTTGCTCTGTTACTGAGCTCATTCAGCGCTGACAATCTAGCAGCCACTGATGATGATGGAGAAATGAACAACCTCCAAATAGCTGTCATTCGGATTAAAAAAGGCATTGCCTGGATTAAACTACATGTCCACAACTTCATACAAACACACTTTAAGAAGAAGGCTGGTGATGAGAAACCTTTAGATGACATGTATGAGAAGAAGAATTGCTTGGTAAATCACGCCGGAGTTGATATCACTCGAGAGATGGAGTATCAGAAGAATGGAAATGGCACTACCAGTGGTATTGGTAGCAGTGTGGAAAAGTATTTGATAGATGAAGATCATATGTCATTCATCAACAACCCAAACCTCACCGTCAAAGTGCCCATCGCAGTAGGAGAGTCAGATTTTGAGAATCTTAACACAGAGGATATTAGCAGTGCATCAGATGACGAAAGCAAAGATGTGAGTTTTTAATTTTAAAATGTTTCTACCCTGTTTCCCCGAAAATAAGACCTAGCCCAAAAATAAGACCTAGTACTATTTTTGGGAATTGCTAAAATATAAGATCTACCCCAGTTGCGACTATTCCCGGGGCCCGGTGGTGGCATAAGGGGGAACTTGAAGAGCCGCGGGAGAGGCAGGGGAGAATCAGCTGTACCAACAAAGCCAGAGCTAGAGGAAGCGAGGCGGCACCGGAGGGAGCAGAGTGGTATAAACCGATGCCTCCTCTATAGCGCCGGCTCCTGTCACAGGTGGAGTGATACCAAATGCACTCCACCTGTGAGGAATCGATAGTGAAAGTGCACTTCGCTCATTCTGGCCAGCGATTGGTTAGCAAATTGCTCTTGGAAAGGTACGGCACCCCTGATTGCCCTGATCACCATATTTTAGTACATGAATACATGTAGACTTTTCTACATAAAAAAGTGTGTATTGTTGTACATTAAAAAAAAAAATAAGACCTACCCCAAAAATAAGACCTAGTGTGTTTTTTTGAGCCAAAAAAATACAGTGTCTTATTTTTGGGAAAAAGATAGACAATGTTGTATGTCAACTGACATGAGGTCAAATGACAGGTAAACCTTGCACTGCTAATATTGCACAGCCTGATAATAGCGTTTTAACACTGTCTTGTTTAAGTAACTAAGGCTTTTTTGTTGTTCACTGAGGGAATGTCCTTATGATGCAAAAGCTTCAATACTTTCAATACTTTATGTTCTATTTAGACCTGTGTGTTGTGGTATTGTGTTATTGCCATGCAAAGCAATGCACAATACCAAGTGTGGTTCATTGTGGTGCCATTTATTTTGAATGACTGCACAATGCACCTAGGCATACAACCACAATGTTAGTTCACCACAACACACAGATGTGCCCCGCGGCCCATTAAAACTTGCATTATGGTGCATGGGCAGCCCATTCAAAACAAATTAGCTGCCTTACCACAACACAGCACAGTAGAAATGCCCAAATGGGCCCTATGTCTCTGTACCAGGACTTTCTGATTTTCCCTTGGCTACACTAACTGCATGCTTGTTAAATAACTCGAAACGTATTGAGGCTTGTGACACCCTAGTATTGTCTATAGAGAGGTCAGCAATGGCAACAACCATATTTCTCTCAGTAGAAGAACGCCCTGGTGTGCCAGCAGGGAGAGTCAGGGAACAAGGCAGGCTGTCCAGGACTGTTAGGGGTTAAAGAAAACCACAAAGTGGTTACTGACAAAAGGCCTAATGAAAAGCTATACAAAGGCAGCACAAGTAAGTGCGTATTGTAAACATTTTATTTATGTGAGCAGCCTGAAAAATGAGGAGTTTGAAAATATTGCATTATACATCATGGTACATCTGTGCAATGACTCACTCACTCACTCACTCTCTGCCTATTATTGTAGATATTTACTATGTGTATGTATATATTTATTTATTTCCTACTGAACACATAGTTTAAATGAAAAAGCTGATTAACTTCCATAGGAAAGACTTTAAAAAATGGCAATTTAAGCAATAGTGAAGTGAAAGTTTTTTTCATTAAATATTGTAGTTGATTTTTTTCATATTAATGTCTTTCATCTTAATGTCTTACAGAAACTGTATGACACAAGTTCTTCAGAAGGAAGTACCATTGATATAAAACCAGAAGTAGAGGAAGTTCCAGTGGAACAGCCAGAAGAATACCTGGATCCAGATAACTGCTTTACAGATGGTATGTTTTTTGCTGTGCTCATGTAGTAATACAGCAGGGATGTCCCTTATTTAAAAAAATTAATGTCTCGTTCCTAGATTTTCTTCTAACGTCAGTCCTTAAATTATTCAAAGCATTAGTTGTCATTTTAACATATACAGACACAAACAAAGTAAAGTAAATTTGAGGGGAATTTTATCAAAACTGGAGCAGACAAAATCTGGAGCAGTTGTGCATGGCAACCAATCAGCTTCCCTCTTTCATTTTCAGATCTTAACTGATCAAACTGAATAAAGAAGCTGATTGTTTGCCATGGGCAACTGCTCTGGATTCTGTCTGCTCCAGTGTTAATAAATTCCTCTCTTTTTTTTTTTTTCATTTAAGCTATGAACCAGTCACTTCCAAACTCTCCAAAAAAAAAAAATATTTACCACTATTTATATGTAAACTGGTAACAGCATAACATTGATGCAATTTCAGAGAAACCGCACCAATGCTGTAGAAAATCACATCTGCGAACTGTTACCTCCCAATGGGCAATGTTATGCTCTTTGTTGTGACCTTTTAGAATGACTGCATATTTGTAAGAATATGCAAATGCTTGATTGTCCCTAGTCTGGGCAAAGGTGCACTTTAACAATCAAAAGCTGGAATGTTTCTACATATGGCTAACAATAGCACAAGGCCTCAAATGGACATATATACAAATATACACTTCAGAAAGAGATTAAAAACAAAACAAAAATGTTTAATTAGTTAAAACATTTACAGCTTCCTATTATGTGTTTGAATGAAATATGTTTCTGGGTAAGACTAATGATTTGTATTCTATACATACAGGTTGTGTGGCACGTTTCAAGTGTTGTCAAGTCAGTGTAGAAGAGGGCTTTAACAAGTCATGGTGGACTCTGCGAAAAACCTGTTTTCTGATAGTGGAGCATAACTGGTTTGAAACCTTTATCATCTTCATGATTTTGTTGAGCTCTGGTGCTCTGGCAAGTATTATTCTCAATAATATTGATTTCCTCCATTTAGAGTAATATCACAAAATTAAATGGTTTTGATGAAGTTAGTGGTCAGCACAACTGTCTTGTAGCACTAGAGTTCTCAGTTCAAATCATAACCAGCATATTACATGTTGTCTTTGTGCTTGTGTGGGATACCTCCAGGTATTCTGGTTAACTCCTACACTCCAAAGACATGCTAGTAGGTTAACTGGCTCCTGCCTAAATTGGCCTTAGTATGTGTTTATGCATGTGAGATTAGGGACTTTAGATTGTGAGCTTCTTGAGGACAGGGACTGATACAATATCTAATGCTCTGTTTAAATTGTCAGCACTAAATAAATAATCAATCAACTTCTCCCTTTGCTTATCCTTCATTGCTTTGGAAACAAAGGCAGAATATGATCAATTACTTTGACCAACAAGGGTTATTTGTGTATACACATATGCATATGTATTTCCACTTAAAATGTGTCAAATTGTTAATGGGTTATGTTTAGTAATTGCAATAGCTCTTGATTCTTAAAACAATATTCTGTTATTTAAAGGAGCCCTGTGCTGAAAAGAACATTCGAATTGTTGTTGCTGAACACTCCTGAAAATGCTAAGATGCCTGCTATCTCTGGCTTTAATGTTTTCTGAGTCACAGGCCCAGAAAAAAAATACAGCAAGTAAAATCAGGTCTCCTGATATACATACCTATTCCGTGTTAGTGACTCAGACAGCACTGGAGCTAAAGGATAAACATTACAGCTAGGCAACCAGCATGCCACACATTTATCTAGCAAATGTTTACTTTATTTAGAATGTAGTACTTTCTTAAGTGCATGTATTAAGATTTGCCTTTGCTGCAGCTGGATCAATAACTTATAAATTAAAGACCTTTAAAGTATCAACCATCTACCATACCCACCTGATCTTTTAGAATCAAACAATCAGACTATTGTACTATCTTCCTATCCTCAATGTCAGCATTTTCTCTCCAGCTATGAACCATCATTTATTCAGTGAATGTCACTCAGTCTTCTTATCACTGTCTGTGATGCAGTACTTGATGGCACTGGATTCAGTCATGTCACCTATGTTTTAATAGCAAAAATGTAAAAAAAAAAAGATATTTCCCAACCCATATGATATCTTGCAGAGCAATCTTTTGCATTTAAGTGACTGGCCATGTACTGAGGCAATATCTTTTGAGACATGTACTCCTTCAGAGAATCTTTAACTCTAGATGTCCTTTAGTACATTAACAGTCAAGTATATTATTGGAATTTTCCCTTATTTGGTAGGCTTTTGAAGATATCTACATAGAACAACGCAAAACCATTAGAACAATTCTCGAGTATGCGGACAAAGTTTTTACTTATATTTTCATCTTGGAGATGTTATTGAAGTGGTTGGCTTACGGATTTGTCAAGTTCTTCACAAATGCCTGGTGCTGGCTGGACTTCCTCATTGTTGCTGTATGTATAAATTAATTAATGTGTTTGAGATGAACATTAATGTATTTTCAGGTTTACCATGTTCCCTGCCAATTTCAACCTTTTGTAGGAAGACCCCTCTGTCTCTGTGTTCCCATGATGTCTGTTTAAGAGCAACCAAAGGCTTTTCCAGAAAGGTCCTTGATTGCTTAAAGGAGAATTATGAGGCAAGTGATTTTCACTCAGCCTCATAATCTGAGCCGACCTGTGACAATGAAACTGTCACAGGTTGGCTCAGTAGATTGGGAAGTGAGCGTATACATACCGGCGCTTGGTCTGTTAATTCCCCCCCTCCCCTGTCCGATCCTCCAGCGCTGACTGGCGGAACGGACGGGGGAGGGCGCGGGTACAGCTGGCTCTGCCTCTATATAGGCAGAGCCAGTTGTCACTCACGCAGCTGGGTGGACCCAGACAGAATTGTCGGAATCCGTTCCGGCTGCGGCATCTCAGTATTGGGTGACGGGAGGATGCTGATTTGTGTCCTCCCGTTACCCTTAGGAGAACTATGGGGAAAAGCCCTAACCCCATAGTTCTCCTTTTAAGGCAAGTTATTCATGAGCACCTGAACAAGGAAGCCAGTTTTTTTTTGTGCACAGCAACTCTTCCGGTGGAGGGTAGGTGATGGGGTTGTCCTTGAAGCTGTAGAGGAGCAGTTTAAGAGAGGGTACACTGAGGTGTGCCAGATTCCAAACAAGACCACAGATATACGCATATAAAAACTATGTTGATATAAATATGACAGTGGTTAAAGAGTTCGGCAGTTATGTAATTTATTATATAATTGTCAGGCAAATGATAAAACTAAAGGAGCATTGGTTGTGAATCATTGTTAACCAAATACGCTGTAACTATTTAACACTTGGAAATACTTTTGCTGATGTAAATGGAATACCATCTGTTACCTATATCAATACTAGAGTATATGCAATAAATAAGATTGCAATCATTTCATTGGGGTGCGCAGGATTAAATGTTATTCAGGGTAATGACATTGACTCTTTTGTGTTTTGTATTTGATATACTTTGCTCTTCACAGAATATACTGTGCCCAGCCCATAAGTAAAAACCCAGTCTACTTTTTTAGTTGTAAAAGACCTCTACTTGTGCACAATCTTTGAATTGTTTACGTAGTAAAAAAAAAATATTCTACAAGATGTGAAACTCATTTAAAGCTCAACTCTAGGCAAAAAATAAAAATACCCTTGCAACCCCCCCCCCCAACACACATGCACACACTGCAAGGGTTAAATATTCATAATTTTTAGGAGTATTGGAATAAGGTGTCATTTTCACGTCTTCTCTCTTAGGTCCCCCCAATCTGTGTGACCGGTCCCCCGAAGCCTCCTCTCTATGGTGCTCCGCAGAACTAATAGTTATGCAGGATAAATAGTTCTACATTATACGTAGTTACACCAAGGGACCATCCACAGCCAAAAGTGTGAGAGAGAAGAGGAGAGCACTGGACCCTGCTGGAGTGATAAATAAGTAATACAGCCTCTTCCTCTAACCTCTAGAGTTAATGAGCATTTAAACCATGGAGTGGGTTGGAAATCCACTACAAGGTTTTTTTCTCCTCATAGTTGAGTTGGGCTTTATGGAGATTTACTAGTTAAAGAAAACTTTCCCCTATGTATCTGACCCCTCCATGTGCTAATTTGGACTACTCCCACATGCAAACATGCAAAATAGTAATATAGCACTATTATTTAAATTGATGGGCTGCAGTATCATATATACCCTGTCGATGGAGATGTAGTGCAAATCAGTTCCCATTCTGATAGAGTTGTGTTAGGGGTAATCTTCCTTGTTACTCCTTAGAGGGGCCAGGAGATGGGCTGAAATTTGTATCCAGAAACTTACTTAATGTTTCTACTTAAACACAACAAAAATATCAGATGTTGCTCCTTAAAAAATGTAAATACATTGTTCCTTTCCCATAAATTGTGGTATGTGTTGGTTACTCATTAACATTTATATTGTATTTTTGAAGGAAAGCTGCATGTTTGAGACCCTTCGTGAAAATCACCGCCCCATATAATCCATTAAATAATTCTAAAAACACACCAGGACACAGAGAGTAAGAACATTCATGGCACAGTCTTAGCCACGCCAATACACGACTAGTTTCCAGATTACATATTTGTTAAAGGCATGTGCTGTATATTTTTATTTGTATTCTTTCTCACAGGTACCTTTTTAATTTGTCTGGCTTCATTTAGTGGAAGCAGCTGTATCCAGCAGACGGTGAAGGGCAAGGGTAAGAATTTTGTCAGCCCCGCCTTGAATAGACCCCACTGTCTATCTGTGTGGTTCTGCTTCACTTTCATGTTTTTCTCCTTCTCGTTCTAATACCTTTTCAACCATGTTTCCTTCCAGGTCGGTTCTGTCAAGTGATTTAGACAGCTGAGGCCCCAGCCATGAATCCAGGCTGTTCAATCAGTGTTAGGCTTTGACTCTAACAGTCTGGAACATCTCTTTGCTTTTCTGTTTCTGTGTAGGTCTCTGTAGTAAGCCTTATAGCTAATGCCCTGGGCTACTCGGAACTAGGTGCCATTAAGTCCCTTAGGACCTTAAGAGCTTTGAGACCCCTAAGAGCCTTGTCACGATTTGAAGGGATGAGGGTAAGATGCTGAAAGCAGCTGATCCTTCTGCATGCGTACGGAGCAGTTTAAAGCATGCTAGAACTGATCAAACCGGATTGAGATTCAAAATTCATGATGCAGCTGCTGACCTCCTTATCCCTGCACCCTCTGCTCAAACAAGGGAGACGCATTCAGCTGCCTCATCACATTAATACCGGCCCAAAATGACATATCATTTGTAGTACATTGTAACATTTGCTGTTCTCATCTGGCCTGGCTTGTCTCCAGCACCCAGAGGGTTTCCCTGCTATATATCTATAGGGAGAATCACCAGGTGCAAAAAAGAAGAATTCAAACCCTTTACCAAGTGATGTTTCTAGCGTCATATAGATTTTCCTGGTAACTGGGTATTCATAGAAAGAAATTTGACTAACCTAGTTTGTCCAAGAGAGACAGTATAATTTTTCCTATTTATGAAATAAATGACATATGACATTTTTGGTTTAATTCATCTTGCTGCACCTTGTTGTTCTCGGTTCAGTCTTACAAAGACTGGAAGGCTTGTCTGACAGCAAAGCTTTTTCACTTCCTCCCTCTTCTTTCTATGCTTTATGGTGCCCTGTCCCATCACTGTGGCTGAAGGAACACTATCAAATCATTGGAGCAGAGTTTTTTATTCTTCCTAATACCATTTAGGAAAATATCACACATAAACAGCAGTACTATACTTATTAGCATGTCTATAAAACTGTAAATTTGACAAATATACATATAAAACTACTGGCAACAGATTGTGTAAACTTAGCTGAAGCTTATATATTTAAGAAGATTATATATATATAGCCCTTTAAAATTAAAAGTATAAGTTTATTAATTAGTGAAAAAGACATTGTTTTCTCAGAATTGCATGTACATAGATACATTTACAATCAGATGATGCACTGTTAAGTGTTCTGTGATTTGAGGAGGAAAGATGATGTCACATCCCTGTCCCCTCTTCTCCAATCACAGAATGCCTTGTATTCTTAGTGAAAAATACAAGATATTTTGAGAATGAGCAAGTAGTGAGGAGGGGATGCGACTTGAGCACTTTACTACTTGAGTCATATCACTCAGTTTTCGCAGCGCCCAAAGTGTAGGAGCCATCTTACTACAAGGTAAGGTTGCCCTATACACAAAACATATCGCCTTTTAGTGATAATTTGCACACCCAGTGCAGTTTGTAAATTATCATTTTTCACAGAGCTGGGCTTTAATATAGTCGTCATCATTTCTTATAGTAATACTTTGTACTGTACAGCAATGCTGGATTTTATATAGATATGACTTTTATCGTATTAAACAGAGATTTTTCTTTTTGAATGTACTTGAAGTCCTAAAATATCTTAAGACAAATTATAAGGATTCAGTCTGTTAAATATATCCTAATTTGGAAACTGCACTGAGGATATTGTAGTTGTGTAGGAATACTTAGTTTGAATTTCTACACAGCATTTTTTTTAAGGAGCTTATCAGTTAAAATACATTGCAATAAGGGAAAAAACAAGGTACAAGGGTTACATTGGAAAAACTTGCTAGGATAGCCTCCCCTAAACTCAGATGAGGCATATTGAGATTTTCTGTCAGTATTTAAGGTGCAGCATGTTTGTACATGTTAAGTGGATGCCACTAGATTCATTAGAGGTAATTCATATAACTTTACTACCGTGTTTGAAGAGAGGAAATAGCTATAATTGCAGATAATCCATATGACTGTAAACCTAACCAATCTCTAATATCTCTTGAGTAATTGCTTAGTTCACTATAACATTTTAGAATGTCAGTGTCAACATCCCTGAGTTTTCTGTTCTGCTTTCCGCCTTTAACCATCACCTTATGCACACCTTTGTACAGGATCTTTAAATTAATTATTAACCAATTAATTTAAACCAGAATGCTCTACTATAGGCACCATGTGGTGTCCAGAGCGACTGTACAGTCTACCAGTCAGGAGAGAAAAAAACAAGAATGCTGGTTGTCACCTAAAGCATATCGAAACCCAAAACCAAAAAAAATAATATATTGCAGCTTACCAATCATTAAATGTGATGGCTTACTTAGTTATTAATTTAGACATTTTTCCTTTATGTTCCTCTGGGGATCTGGCCAGTTACACACTTCCTTTCTTGGCTGAGTTGCTCTGCTCTAAGGAGGAGTAAGCGAGCCTCCATTGAACAACAGCATTATCAACCTGTGGAGAGGGTAGTGTTAGATACTCCAGCAGATTTAGATGGACTTGACTAAGAAATTATTTTTTTTTTAAAGATAAATGTTTTACAGAAATGAATAACACTGACAGGGGTGCTTACAATGAGTCGGCTTTTAAATGGTTTGCTTCATCCCTATATCTGTCACTTTTGCTGGATAGCTTGGTCTGTTTAAAGGAAGAAAAATAACAGGCTTACTGGCTGGTTCAGCAAGTGAAAATTAACGTGATAAAGACTAAAAATAAAAAAATCCACCACATTAAAGAATGTGTCAGCTGCTATATATAAAATGTTTGCTTTTGGGTTTAGATACAGTTTAAACCACTCATAGAGGTGTGTTCATAAAACATTCGCAGAGTCATTCGTCCTGAAAAACTGCATGCACATGATGTTTTGTGCAAACGGAGGCAAAAGCAAATTCTGCTGTTATATTTTCTTTCCAAGTCAATGGTAATGTTGGATAACCACATTATGGTACAAATGAATGTACATGCAGTTTCGCAGTTCGAATGGCTCTGGAAATTTATTTAAAAGACACACCTTAGTTTTGTAACCCCTTTTAGTAGCATCTGAAGTTCCATACTTCATTTCTGCTAATAGATATACACACAGTTATCCAAAGGTAGTCATGTAGCCAAAAAAAGAGGTAGAAGGTAAAAAAAAATAAAAATGTCCACATTCAAGTTTAAATGATACACACATTCACTAATTATTGGTAGTTAATTTGAAATTAGATCAAGTACAAAAGGTATTTTCTAAGAAAAAAAAACTTGAAGAGTCCCCATCTTCTACAGAACTATGCAAACAACAGAACCTACCCTGCGTTATTTGGTAGACTGGATTGCGATCAGTGAATAAGGGTTTCATTAAATAACCAGTGTACTTTATCATTACAAGACAATATTAAATTCCACCAGCAGGAAGCATTGCACGTGTAATCTATAATTACTGCAGTGTGTCCTTAAACAACCTGCGGGGAGGGAATATACCTCCATGTACTTCACAGAAAAAATTGGAACAAACTGGGGATTTTCCATTTTCCTGGAGGTCCTTTCTAAAGAGAGATGGGTACACTTTTGACATTTTATCACAGCTTGAAATTAAGTTTCATCACTGTTTATATTCTATCCTCTTTCATATTATCTCATACAATATTGTTAGGTAGTGTAAAACCCATAAGCGAATGATAGAAAGCATGTGTAGGGCAAGCTTTGAATCATTACATGTACTGTAGTTCTTTGCATTCTCAGCTTCATGATAACTTGCTCTTGGAAAGAACTACCATGTCTCTTCAGTTTGTTTTGTAAGTGGTATTAATGCAGTGAAACATGCATGCAATATATTAACTGCCAATGCACAAAATCACATAAAAGCCATGTTCCCTCTTAGGGCACCAGGGGTGGGAAAAGCTCTTTTCAATGTGTGGTTGATGATTCTGCAATATAGTTATAGACTAAAACAATATTATTATTTGATGCTATTTTTATTATTGGCACAAACACCTTTTATTATCTTTCATATCATTATTGCATCATAATCTATTTAGAGATATTTCATATGCAAAATCACACAACTTACCTTAGCACTAGAGGTGCACCGAAATGGAAATTTTAAAACTGAAACAAAGCCGAAATAAAAAAAAATTGTCAGGCCGAAACCGATACTGAAAATGTTTGTTTTTTATTTGAATTTTTAAAACATTTTCTAAATATTTTATTTTTATTAATTTTTTATTAAATATTTTTATTTTTTACATTACTTTTAGGTGCTTAGGGGAAATATTAGGGGTCTAAACAGACCCCTGATATTTCCCTTTTAAAATAGAAAAAGAGATTGAGAACACAAAATCCTCTGAGTTTTCCTGTTCACTCATAACATGAGAACATTGTGTGTTTACTATAACTACAACTATGAATGAACAGGAGGTGATGTAGATCACTCCCATTCATTTATAATTGAGGATATAGTTAACATACCATGTCCTCAATTATGTACAAACACTCAGCGATCACTGAGTGTTTGCACTTGCTCTCCTCTCTGACACGCTGTCACAGGAGGCTGATTGAGCGGTGTAGGGAGGAGGGCCCAGCCTCCTGTGACAGCGCGGCCTGTGATAGGAGGTTGAGTGGTGTGGGAGGAGACGCCGGCCTCTCACAGCGCTTTCCTCCTGCAGCACTTGGCCGGCTATCACAGTTTCTGTCCTCCGCGATGGGACACAGAGCAGCGCCCAGCGGGGAGGAAAGAAACATGGGATACGCCGATGTATTGGCAGGAAAATTGCACTTTCGGCATTATGCCAAAAGTTCAATTTTTGGCCTATATGTTTCGGCGGCCGATATATCGGTGCATCCCTACTTAGCACTGAAACTAAATGAAAGCCCAAAGCATGCCAACATGTTTGTTACATTTTAAATAGAGTTGGGAAGGCTTAGAAAATCAGGTTTGTTTGCTGGCTGTGTCCCAGTTGGGGAGATTTTGCCACACTTCCTGTTCTGGTGTCAGAGGGACTGAAAGAGGTGGAAAATCTCTCCAGCAGGGATACAAACAAAATACAAAAAAAGAGCAAGCAGTGGTAAGTAGGATTTTTATTCCTGTCCTGTGATGTCAGTTCCCCTCACTTTTGTCTTGGAGTCATATCTTTTTTAGGAAAAACTCCCAAGTGGCGTCACAGACAGCAATAATAGCCTGACAGAAGTTTAACCCTAACTCACTTTATTCAAAACATTGGGTGGGGTTGAGCTTTAATTTAGGGCGCTTAGTAAATGCTCTGTGGTCCTCCTCATTTGCACCTGGAGGTCTCAAAGGTTCCACCAACCAAAAGGCATTATTACTGAATTCTTTTTCAAAAGGTACAGTATGGTTCCTATATTTTATCTGCATAAAAAGGTCATAGTTTTGGCCAAAGCCGGTAGAGTAGTATGAGAAGCTGCCACAAGAGTTGATGGATTCTTTCAAAAATGTAAAGTAGTCTTCATTCTGCCAACTGATTATTGTAATATAAACATTTGAGACGACTGCTGTGCCCACTGCCATTAATCAGATTCATACTAAAAGTAATTAACAAAATAACATGGAACGAAACCGCAAACACATTTTGGGGGTTAAGAGAAATTCCCCTTCATCACGGCTTAAGGTGCTGCATGTGATGGTGAACTCTGGTCTTAATTAAACATCTGTTCACAATTCATGAGAAGTAGCTTTTCTTTTCAAATTAAATCAGTGGACTATTTCTTTTTCACCTGTATGCAAAAAGATTAACAGGAGACACCAGTGATGGCTAAATATTCTTAGCTCATTATTCTCAAAATATAAACCAAAACGTGTCTCTTCCATTTTATTAAGGAGGGAATATGGCTTTTTACAATTTGAGCTTGCATAACATGCATGCTCAGCTGGCTGCCTGATATATATTTATATGACCTGTTTATTCCCCAATATGGCCTTTTTAACACTACCCAATTCTAATGCTCAATGAACGTTATCTGTGCTAACCCTAGAAATATTTCTGCTAAAGGCCACTTGCCGATATGTATATCAATGTTAAACACATCCTGCAGGTAAATGAATGTCGCATAGCATTTTTGATCAGCAAAAAACTGGTTAAGGCATTGTGTGCAAGGGCATTTGCCTTGTGCAGCTCTTCTTTCTTGATATATTTTGTATTATGTTGCCCTTTAACTCATCAAAGTTGATCTGAAATAAGAGGTTACCAACCATTGATAACAAGTTTATTGATGTGACAACATCAGCATATCAGTATTACAGCATAAAGGTTACTAGCATCTATTTTGTGATCCATTCAAAATGATGGGCATGGATCACAGAGATCCTTTGTGCAGAAATTATGTTAAACCGGAACTCCCGTTAAAAATCCCTACATATACACTGTCCACCCCTCTCCTCACTGTCCACTACCTCTTCACACTGTCCACCTGAATTTTTAACAAAAGGTCTTAATAAAACAGCCTATACCTTCCTTTTTCACTACACTCTTCTAGCAGGTTAAGTGACATCACAGGTCCTTCCTCTTCTTTCTCAGCGGTAGCGAGGAGAGGAGGTAATTCGCCTTGAGTACTGTGAGCCCAGGCTGTGTGATGACTCACCACCAAGGGGTGTGTGAACAAAAGGTTGGGCTCAAAGGAAAATGGGTAGAATGATGCTGGTTGTTGTTTAACCCAAACTTAGAATGATGGCACTGGATGGAGAAAAAAGTTGGGGACAGCACTGGAGCATGGATAGGGTAAGCAGAACTTGGGCACTTTTTGTAATACAGGAACTTAAGGGCACTTTTTGTAATACAGGAACTTAATGGTTAAAAAAATAGCGTTCCTCTTTAAGTCATTCATCAAGAGTCTATTTCTAATGCTAGTACACATCGGCTCTTATTAGAACACTGACTAAATGGTATCCCTATTTGACAAGAACCAAATTGGCCCTGTGCAGATAAGATCTGCACCATCTACACAGTCTCAAATGTCAGGGGCCTAGATGAATTATAACTTTTTAACCCCCCCTCCTCACTGTAGTAATCATTCTCGCCCACTGATTTACTAGGTACTCATAATATCTCGGGGGAAAAAGAAAGACACTGTGCTTCACAAACTCAAAAAATGTATTCCTAAAATGCGAGAAAATTTTTATAAATTGTGAAAGTGTCATAAAGTGATAAAACAATTTTGTGTTATCCAGAGCACCTGTGTTGCACTATGCCTGTGATAATAATAGTTCAGAAAAAACTATTAGTCTAATGGTCCAGACTCTAGACACTATAAGCCATAATGAACATATAAAAAAAAATATGAATACCAAAAAACATATACTTGTGCTAGTACATCTCATAAAATGTGTACATTTTACATTTCACAAATGACTCATAATATCTCGCCTGTTCACACTTTCTGATTTGGAACCTAATGGGCTATTTGGCCCATCAAGTTTCTCTTTTCTCAGAAAGTTTTCATCCCAAATTACCTAATTGACAATGACTTGTGTGGTCTTTACATGGGATAGGACCACTTATTACAGATCTACTTCAAATTAATTCCAGTCCAAACTTTTTTTTTAATGTTTTGAACAATTGGATATTGCTTTCTGGATCACTATTTCAACATTTCTCAGTGATCATGGCAGAAAGTTAAATTAATTTTCTGAATGGGGGCCCTGATAGCAGTATACAAATTAAGAGGTTTAAGCACTTCCTAAAATACATGTTGCCGTTATCTCACAGTCACTGAGACAGGTGAGACTGTAAGAACCGTTACCTCACAGTCACTGAAACTGAGACAGGTGGCAGTAGTACTTTCAAGTGGCAACCACTCCCCCAATCTTATCTAAAACTAAAAAAATGTGTTGGCTGGAGTTCCAGTTTAAGTGGGCATTTTTTTTTTTTTTAATAAGACCTACAAGTCAGCAGGAAGGGGAGTGCAGAACACTCAAGTACATGCAACCTTAGAGCACCAGAAAGCCTGTGCTATGCCAAAATGCCAAGTAAAGCATGTTCTCTTTAATGCTGTATACCAACAGAACACTGTAGGTTTCCTGCATTTTTCTTTTTGTATTTTAAAATGTCTATGTGGCACTAATTTGTCCAGTTCGCATATATATTCTGAAATCATGCTTATAAGATATTGACTTGAGAATTTACTGTTTAGAGGATCTGTTTATTTTTAGCAACATTCTGGTCTTCCACATGAACTCTGTTGTTTAAGCAAAGCATACCTGTCAGTGGCCTTTAAATTCAATCATCCCTCCCCATAATATCAAGTCTTTGTTCAGCTAGTAGGCTATGGATTTAACTACAGTCTTATTTCCTTCCAACACAGGTTGTAGTCAACGCTTTGGTTGGAGCTATCCCCTCAATTATGAATGTATTGCTGGTCTGCCTTATATTTTGGCTGATTTTCAGCATCATGGGTGTCAACTTGTTTGCTGGCAAATACTACTACTGTTACAATGAGACAGCAGAAGACAGATTTCTCATAGAGGATGTAAACAATCGAACAGAATGTGAAAATCTCATAAATATGAACTATTCTGAAGTCAGATGGAAAAATGTAAAGATTAACTTTGACAACGTTGGGGCTGGATACCTTGCATTGCTTCAAATAGTAAGCTTTGTTTTATGTGTAAATTCCTTGTAATGGCTGTTTTTTTTTTTTAGTAAGTCCTTTAGTTTTTAAGTGTCTGCTTGCGATTTTCTGATGCTATATCTTGTTTTCCCTATTGCATCTATAAATGCACATAAATTAAGCAAAATATTTATACCTATTCTGCATATAGCATTCTGAATGTCCTCTCCATATAACTGATGTTCTATGGAACAAATGTTTAAGGATTCATTTTTTTTTATTTTAATTTTTTTCAGGCTACGTTTAAAGGATGGATGGATATTATGTATGCAGCAGTAGACTCTAGGAGGGTGAGCATTTTTCCAGCTAGGGAATATTGGCTCTCCTTACACATTTATGTTGTATATTCAGTTTGGGTACATGTCCTTGTTCCAGTAATGAAATTATCTTAATATGCAATATTTCACTGCACAAAATACACTGGGAAGCTGCTGGTTATTTTTGATTCGTAATTTTCCTGTGCATACAAGTGCCTTAGCCATAGAGCCCTGGTGCCCAATCTGAGGCCCGTTGCCTCTTATTGTGCATCCCTCTGAGCCCCTGCAGATGGTGGTCTGTGTTTTCCATAACTTGGTGTTTATTCAAACCAGTGAGGGGAAAAATTGTCTTCCAGTATTACCTGTTTATTTCTTTTTAGGCTATCTTAACTTTTACTCCATATTTTTTTACTCTCTGTTTTTACAATCAGACTTGCTGACATAAATATGAAATGTGATGCAAGTAATTTTTAAGGGGGCTGCATGGAGCACAAATGTGCAAAAGTATTGATTTTTAAATGATCTGTAATGGCAGTGATCTCTAGCATTCTCATGTAGTACGTCTCCAGTCTATGGCTGTCTCCTGAAACATATCCCCACAAACCAAAAACTCTTATAACATTTTTGCAATGTCAGGCAGCTTTTCTTAGAATTCCAAAGAAACAAGCAGCAGGCCCCGCTGTCATACAGGTTTCTATGCACTTAGTAATTCACATTCTAAAGTACATTCTGAAAAAATTAAGTACACCTAGTGGAAATTGACCTTTTTCAACATATTTGTATAGGCAAACATTAGACCCTTATTCAAAAGTGCCTACAGATAAAGCATGATTTTTGACTTACAAGTAAAATCCTTTTCTTGGAGTACAGTACTGGACACAGGCATCTGATCTCATAACTCCAGGAAATCTTCAGTTTGTTTTTACCAAGCAATAGCGTAAATAGTGGGGTGAGTGCTGTGTCCTGTTCTGTACTCCAAGAAATATATTTTACTGGTAAGTTAGGGCACAGACAACTCATGGACAACTATCACGTCCAAAAGCAATGCACTGAAGGGTGGGCAACAAAATAAAAAACAACTGCCAACAGGCCCTTAACAGAAAAAACAAGGGGAAACTTCAAATCAGATAGCAGCCTGTAGCACCTTACTTGCAAAACTCACATCATTAGAGGCATGAATAGCCACCTGGTAGAATATATGAACAGAAGGAGAGGTGGCAACCTTACAAATCTGTAACGCAGATGTCTGATGCCTAAAAGCCCAATAGGTACTGACAGATTTAGTGGAGTGAACTGTTATAGGGAAAAGGGGAGTCTTACCCTTGACAGAGTAAGCATGTAAGATGACCTGTCTAATCCACCTAGAAATGATGGAACAAGATGCAGGGAGCCCCATACAAGGTCCCCTAGGAAGGACAAAGAGAATCAGATTGTTGGAAGGAAGCTGTACCCAAAAGATAGACTCGGACAGCCCTAACCACATCCCAACAGTAGAGAACTACCTCCTTTTGGATGTATCAGAGCAGGACAAAAGGAAGGTAGAACAGTCTCCTCATTCAGATGGAAGGAGGACACCACCTTAGGGGAAAATAATCCTTTGGTCTGAGAATGACCTTATGCTTGTGAAGAATGAGAAACGGAGCCTTCCACAAAAGAGCAGCCAGCTCCAAAACCCTCCTAGCGGAGGTGATGGTGACAATGCAAACAACCTTCATTGTAAAGTTGAGGTTCCCCCAGTGACACTTGACCATGAATATTGAATATCTGGCCAAGGTCTGCTGGAAAATGATAGCTAATATTTATATCTGTCCCTTGATCATACTCAGAGCTAACTATCCAGTCCAGATTGGAGAGAGACTACCATTCATCCCACAGAGTAACCCCAAGGAAATTGTGGCTGTTAGTACCAGGCTACTAAGCCTTCCAGGTGCGATGGTACACTTTCTGGCCTGCAAGAGGGTGGGAATGAGAGTATGCAACATACCTCTATCCCTCAGGACCTAGGCTTCAACAGTCAAACTTTCAAACCAGCAACCAAGAAGCCAGATGAAACCTTGGACTTTGAGAAACGGGGTCCTTGCAGTCTGGAAGCAGCAATTGAGAGTCTGCCAGCATCCTGAGGATTTTCACTCTTCTTGGCCAGTTTGGAAGGACAAGAATCACTGGTAAGCATTCGACTTCAATCCTGTGGAGAAGACGAGTAACAATCTACAAACAGAGAAGGCATAGAGAAGGGACAACTGATCCCACAGAGCTACTACGCATCCACTGTGAATGCTCTTGGATCCCTGGACCGGGATACAAACCTGTCCAACTTGATGCTCACTCTGGACAGCAAGGAATCTAAATCCGGCATCCCCTAATGGCAGCAAACCTGAAATTCGCCTGGAATAGAGCCCAATCCCTCAAGTTTAAGCTCTTTTGACTGAGGAAATTCGCCTGGCAATTGTCCACTCTTGAGATGTGCATGGCATATAAGGCTGGAATGTGACTTTCTACCCAGGACAGAATCAGATCTGCCTTCTGCTGCACAGCGCACCACCTTGATGGTTGACGCACGTCACAGCCTTGGCCTTGTCGGACTGAACCCTAATTGGTAGGCTCTGCAGGTGACCTGTCCAATGAAGGGAGAAGCAAATCAATTTTAACTCCAAGACCTTAATTGACTGCCTGTATTCCCTTGGCAACCAGGTCCCTTGGTCTCTCAACACCCTGAGAAGGATTTCCTGAATCCCCCCCACCAGATCAGAAATCCACCATAATAGCGAGATGTTTGCCTCGACTGACAGACACATGGGGCAATGTAGAGAAGGAGTCTCATTGTCCCACACTGCTAGAATGATCAGTCAGTTGTAGTGGTCTGGAACTGAGCATAGGGAACTGCTTTGAAGAAGGCAACCATCAGCCCTAAAACCGTTATTGCAAATCTCACTAAGAGTGGATCCTTGGACCGAAGGTCCCGCCCCTCCAAACTTCAACAGGCTTATAAAGCGCTTATCCACCAGGTTTGTAGAGCCCAGGACATCCTTCACTGGAACAGTGAGAGATCTGTTAAGGAAATAGGTCACCACATCTACATCCAGCATATCCCACTTCTTGAAGGAACAACTCCTCTAAGGGTAAATATTATTATACAGGATTTATATAGCGCCAACAGTTTGCACAGCGCTTTACAATATAAGGAAGACATTACAATCACAATACAATTCAAGACAAGATGGTAAGGAGGGCCCTACCCGTGAGGGCTTACAATCTAAAAGGGAGGTGCAAGTGATACATGAGGAGGTAGCTGTGTGGGGATGAATTGTTTGAGTTTGAGAATTGGTTGAGTCTTAAGGGATCGCCTAAAGGCAGTCAGAGTGGTAGATAGACGAACAGGTTGGGGTAGAGAGTTCCATAGGATGGGAGAGGCTCTAGTGAAGTCCTGAAGGCGAGCATGGGAGGAGTTGATGAGGGAGCTGGAAAGCAGAAGGTCTTTTGAAGAGCAGAGGGTGCGGTTAGGGTGATACTTTTAGACCAGGTTTGAGATATAGCCAGGGGCAGAGTTGTGGATGGCTTTGTAAGTAGTTGTTAATATTTTGAATTTTATCGTTTTGGGCTATTGGAAGCCAGTGTAGGGATTGACAGCGGGAGGTTGTAGACACTGAGCGGTTGGTTAGGTGAATGAGTCTAGCAGCTGCATTCATGATAGAATGAAGGGGGATAGCCTGTGTAGAGGTAGGTCAATGATGAGGGAGTTGCAATAGTCAAGACGAGATATAACAAGTGAGTGGATGAGTAATTTTGCGGTTTCATTGGTGAGGAAGGGGCATATTTTGGAGATGTTACAAAGGTGAAGGCGGCAGGATTTGGATAGTGATTGGATGTGGGGAAGAAAGGTGAGGATAGTGATTGGATGTGGGGAAGAAAGGTGAAGTCAGAGTCAAGGATGACACCTAGGACCTTGGCATGGGGGAGGGCTGGATAGTTGTGTTAACAATCTCAAGGGAAAAGTTTGGGGAAGGTTGCCAGTCTGCGAAAAGAACAATCTCCACTAGGGCATGTGTGGGAAATGCCTTAATGGGTGACTTTTTCTTAAGAATGTAGAGCACATGATTAGAGCCTATGACCCCTTCCAAGATGGCCAACATCTGTAGAATCCTTAACTGGGCATACCCAGATTAGCAGACTTAACAGATGGCCTCCCCAGCCTGTACTGAGCAAGCTTTGCGTGGCCCAGGGAGTGCCAGTATGGCTGCCGAGGACCCCAACAGGGCGATAGGGGGACCACAGAAAATGCATGCACAATAGCAGACATATTTTCTGGCTCCAGGTAGCTACAAACATAGCGTTTTTTTTGTGTGGGCCACACAATAAAAATTAGACTAAACTGCATACATCTCCCTCAGCAGGGAGGAGACATCTATCACCAAAGGACACTAGCAAAAACACTGAGGATTTGCTGAAGTGGAAGGGTTTATGAGGTCACTGCTCTGGCCAGTGTCCAATCACTTGATGATACCTGCATATTACCCAGTCATCTATGAATTGCATATGTCCTGTACTGTATGATCAATAAAGGTGATATACTTGAATAAAAACAGAATAAAAATGTGCTGTTTTAAATGATTTATTCAACAAAAATATCGATAGATGTAATGGTGTACTGTGGAAAAAGTGCACCCTTGGTATCAGAAGCTGGTATTGCCCCCTTTAGCAGAAATGACTACTTGTAGGCAAAATTACCCTACCAAATGTTAAGTGGCAATCAAATCAGGGCTTTGAGTAGGACAGACCATAACCCTTCTGTTTCTTCTTTTTGAGACATTTTTTGATGGATTTGCTTGTGTCCATTGTATTGTGTGAAAGACTATTTATATTCAACCTTTGGACACATGGCCTCACATTCTCATCAAGCACACTTTTATATGATGCATAATTTATAGCTTGCCCATTCAAATATTTTTTAAAAGTCTACAGTGTCCATGTGGTGTACTTACTTTTTCACATGACTTTATCTCTTTGGAGTAGTGAGAGGTACATTTATTTAGGAAAGTAGCACCAAATTTAGATGCAAATGGTTGCCTGTCAGCAAGGTATATTCAACAGTTTTTACGTGTATTTGCGCTTGTAATTTTGGGTAGCCAAGAGCGACAGGTTTGCATAGGTCTGTGACATATTTACCACAATGAAGAAGGGGTCAGGGACAGGATTTATTCTGCCACAGTGCTATTTTAAAGCAGCGAAGGGGTGAATTGATTAATTATCATAAATCTGACTCGGATCTGTCTCACTGCTTCTGGTTAGCACTGCTTTGCTTTGTGACAGAATTGATTAAATGTCCCCCTATATGTTATGCTTTTATGTAGTTTGCTATTCTAGTTCAAGCTGTGTATTAACATAACATTTCAATATGTTTTAGGTCACAGAACAGCCAAAATATGAGGACAACATCTATATGTATATCTACTTTGTCATTTTCATCATCTTTGGGTCCTTTTTCACCCTTAATTTATTTATTGGTGTCATCATTGATAACTTTAACCAACAGAAGAAAAAGATAAGTATTACTGCTGTAAATTATGGATGGCACTGTTTATTTGTTAGAAATATTTGGTAATACTATAGGAACGATATCTAGGGGGGGTTCTCCCGTGATAGAGTACAATCACAATACAAATGAGTAAACTAAACACCGGATTGTAGTTCATCACAGGAGCAAGCTTGGAGAGAAGGAAGGACAGTGTCGGCACCAATTCAGAGGTATTTTGAGGATCTACAGCCGAGTGATGAGCAATTAATGTACAGTATTGTTAAGATACTTGAATGCATTTTTAGGATTTAACTCCTGAGTTTAGTTTGACTTTAATGGATCTGTCCATCTGCTTTTGGTGGATGCTTGACAAAAGTAGCTACCCTCCAGAAGGAAAGACAGTGTCGGCACAAATTCAGAGATATTTTGAGGATCTACAGCTGAATGATCCACAAATAAGCTAACTTTTTGTTTATAGTTAAGATATTCAAATGCATTTTTAAGATTTAACTGAATTTAGTGTCATGTTAATGCTGTTCAATTGCATAACATCGACCAAGTCTGCAGATAAAAATTCAGGAATGTACAGTATCTGCAGTACTGCTAACTTAAAGTGTATGTAGAAAAAAATATATTCAATACATATATGCATATTTCCCCATGTTTTATCCCCTAATTTGAGGATCTACAGATGAGTGCTACACAAATAAGCTACATTTTTGTTAATAGTTAGGATACTTGAATACATATTTGAGATTTAGCTGAGTTTAGTGTTACTTTAAGTTCTGCTTGTGTTTTTTTGGGTTAAATTAGTTTTTTGGGGTTAAATTAGGGCTAAAGTACGGGTGAGAAATGAGCTACTGGTATGGAATGTTCCCCAAGTTGTCATAATAATAAAGATTGTAACCAGTTTTGTATTTTCTCCTCTACTTTGGAGGTCAGGATATCTTTATGACAGAAGAGCAGAAAAAATACTACAATGCTATGAAGAAACTGGGCTCAAAGAAACCTCAGAAACCCATCCCTAGGCCATTGGTGAGGCTAGTGTGATATTTAAATGTTATGTTTCATGGAAGGGTGCATTTATGTGGAGTTTTCTTCAGCTGAACACGTCTACATGTTAATGATTTGATGAAGCTCCCGTAATAGACTACAATCTCACAAATTAGTTCACTAATTTGTATTGAGATTGTAGTCCATCATGGGAGTGAGCTTGGAGTGGTGGCTACTTTACAGGACACACAGGGACCATGGTGAAGAAAAGTAGCCATCCTCCAGAAGGAAGGACAGTGTCGTTGCGGCTTTCCTCCCACATGGAACCACCCCTCTCTGGCATGATCCCTTTCTTCCTTGCTTGAGCATTAGATGGATTTTCCAGATCCTTTCTTTGGTCAGTGTCTGCTCCCCCTTTAGGTAGGGGACTTGGCCATATCAGGTCTCATATTCAGGTGTCAGTCCTTGAGCCGGCACTTGGACTGCTGGCAGTTTCACAGTTTTTTGTGCCTTTGGGGAGGTTGTTGCTCTGTTGCCCACCCCTAAGTTAGGCTGAGTTTGGATGTCCTGACAGTATCTGAATTTCTGTGCCCCTCAATGGACAGTTAAATTGATGCCTCTACATAAATATTTGTATTGTTCTTAATTTTCATATGTGAGGCTATGCTGTCTAATGATCAATCAATAAGAATGCCTGTTTCCTGAATAGTATAACAGGTGGCTTTGCCAAATTGTATATGCTGCATAGTTCAACTGGGTGTCCTGTTGTATTATTGGTAGGGCTACAATCATACACCTTTAAGCGCTCTGCTTGTAGCAGCCAGCAGTGAGTGCCCACCAGCAAAAAAGGACAGTCTATTCCCAAGTCTCCAAACATGGTCCACAAAAAGCAAACTACACACTTTTTATATTGTGAATATAAATCTGAATATATTGATACAAGGCTAATTGTGATCTCCAGGAGAATCCAATCCTCCTCTTGCGTTTTACCTATATTATGGTGTAATGCTCTGGACTACAAATTCCAGAGATGTAAAGCTTATACCAAGGACGAGCCCAGCTTTAAAGCTTGGCAAAACCTTTAATTTCTATTTGTTGTCTGTTCTTGCAGTGAAGCTTCAAGGAAACAGACCCAGTAGCATTTAAAAGTACTTTACTTGGCGAAAATGCTGCGTGTACAAACTTGGTTACAGGAAAAAAAACAAATACATAAACAAGATAGGCTGCTACAAACATTCACATCCACTACACTATCTTCTAGTACATGTATGATTTCTAGGAGGGGAAACACTGAAAATGTACGTAGCTCCGGCTGCAGGCTCCACAAATTCCGTGATGAACAGGACTTCTTGGCCTAGGAAAATGGCTTCTCGTTGCCGTCTCTGCTAAATCCTTTGTATGTCCTGGTCTTGAAGCAAGTCCTCTCGTCTTGTGAACCCCCTCGTACTGTCCCCCTCCTGTGAAGCCCTCGTCTTGTGAAGTGCCTCGAACCTTTCAGCTACTGGCTTTTTATTGAGAGAAACTGGCCACACACTTGGAAGCGCCGCCCCTTTCACTTTTAGGAAAATGAAATACCATGCATTTCACTTTCCCACCTCTAGGTGGCAGCATTGTATCATAAATTGTCATCAGTAGTCCAGATTTGATTTGAGTTTTACGCAAAACAATACAGGACAAGCCACACCATTGTGAAAAAACAGTTTGGTCTGTTTAGATGGCACCTTCCATTGTATGAACCTAGCTTTCTATCAACAAACAAACAAAACCTCCGTCTCTATTGCAAATCTATGTGTGTCTGAAAAAGTCCACTAAGATATATATCGCAACACATATGGACATAGCCCTCCATCTCTATGACTAATCCCAAAAATTGCGTGAAGCACAATGTGCAGGGTTGCCTTTTCAAACTGTGTCTTAGTAGCAGTACTGGAATCTACCCTATTATTACAATTTACCCAAATAAACTGGAGAGTGGCTCAATGAATCACAAGTGGGGATTATTGTGTTGGGTGCTATAAATATACAGGCTTCACTTTTTGCATTCAAATTATGATATAATATACAGTATTTGGTGACGAAAGCTCTATAAGTTGAAGACCTTTTATTGTGAATGTCGAAATCAAACTAACCTTATTACAGGCAATTATGATTCATATTTTTGCACTGAATTCCATTGACATCTACCTTTTTACTGAATTGTTAATCCTATATTGTTGAGAAATGTGTAGCTATGAAGCATTTTATCTACTCTTTTATGTGGCTTTTGTTACTGTTTAAATTGTCTTTTTTCCAAACAGAATATGTGCCAAGGTGCCATCTTTGATTTGATCACCCAGCAAGCATTTGATATAATCATCATGATTCTCATCTGTCTGAACATGGTCACCATGATGGTGGAAACAGATGATCAGACTGATTATGCTGAGAACGTCCTGTATTGGGTTAACGTGGTTTTTATTGCCTTTTTTACCACGGAGTGTGTGTTAAAGCTGTTTGCACTAAGACATTACTACTTTACCATCGGATGGAATATTTTTGACTTTGTTGTAGTAATTCTTTCAATTGTTGGTAAGTACAATATTTTTGATAGTTATAGTCATATTAACCACTTCAAGACCAGGTGTTTAGACCCCCTTCCTGGCCAGGCCATTTTTCAGTATTCAGCGCTGCGATACTTTGACGTTTATTCCGTCATGCAACGCTGTACTGAAATTAATTTTACACAATTTTTTGGGGACAGATAGAGCTTTATTTTGGTGGTATTTAATCACCACTGGGGGCTTTATTTTTTATTATAATTAGGAAAAATTACTGAAAATTTTGAAAAAAAAACGTTTTTTTTTAACATTATGTTAGGAAACATTTATTATAAATGTGCAGACCAACAGTGACATGACAAAAATTAATGTAATGGAAGATGTCAGCCAAAACACATTATTTACTAGTTTATATTTAACATTAATAGTTGTTCATCTATGAATTTTCCTTTTTGATTAGTCAACTGGACAAAAGAAGAATATGTTGAACTTTAGGCCTGTAGAAGAAAATAAAACACACACTGGACAATGGCCTGCTAACATATGTTTCAGACAACAAACTAGCCTATACACACAGTACAGTTCTTTCCAACAGTTTGCCCTGCCCTTCAACTACATCTGCTGGGATAGGTAAACTGCAGAAAAAGTTTCCCTGAAAAAGTTCACACTATGCAACTTTTCTTTATTTATTCTGTCCTTATGTGTCTTGCGGTGTTGAGAGTTTGCCAAAAGACTGCCAGTTCAGTTGACCTCTAGACAACTGCAGTTTCCTGGTGCAGATCCAGTCTAGAGCCTAGATGCCTACTGCTTTCTTGATGTTATGCTTCTACTTGAGCCTTGATTTTCCTCTTGCTAGGGTTCGCTCATCTTTTTTTTCCAACCTAGCCTGGGCAATTTATTTTGGTCATCATATTCACCGGCACAAACCACTAAAGCTTTACCAATGCTATATCTTGTAAAGGGGATACATTCAGTGACGTAAATTTGCATTTGTTGTGCTCACACAGTCGCATAAAAATACCTGTAGTTAATTTCTAATTATTTAACTCTAAAGTACCCATTGCCCCAGCTTGTTATATTCAACTTGCCTAATATTGTAATAACTGAAGCCTGCACCCCCACTTTCTATTCTGGAGCATTTTCAAAATTTCAAAATTCTTACATGATCAGTCAAATGTGGGGCTCTACCTCTGTATTAATTGTGCTTATGCTGCTGCATGCCTTAGTATTTTTAGTTTTTCCAATATAATATATCTTACATAGATGGAATATATGACAAAGAGCATATGAGGCTGTGCTTGTTATCACATTACACACTGTCAGAATATAATCTTCACAAATCTTTTTCAGGATATATCTCCACGCATTGTACAATATCAACACACCCTAAAGTGTCTTTGGTCACATGTCCCCAAACCAGTTCTTTGTTAATGTTTTTGTCAAAATATCTTCGACTGTGCAGAATGAGACCAAAGCCAGATTTTGCACTTTTGCCCTTGTCCTATTGTCCTTTTTTTCTATTTTAAGTTATGCATGCTTTAGTGCCTTTTTGGAAAGGTAAAATTTTCCCTATCGCTGCCAAAGGCAGTGCACATTATGCATATGTGTGCACATATGCTAAAATGCACACTAAATCTCTACACATTATATATTTTCTGAATGTAAAGAATTCATAAAATAAAATAAGTTACATAGTTACATAGTATTTGAGGTTGAATAAAGACATTAGTCCATAAAGTCCAACCTAATAGGATCTCATTCTAGGAGTACCTGTACCCCTGTATATTACGGTCCCTTAAGAAATCGTCCAAAAGTTTCTTGAACAATTCCACATTATTTGCTGAAAAGTTGCAATTTTTTATGCTGTCCAATATTTGCGCAATAGTTTACCAAATTCAAGGCGGAGCCAATGGAGATTAGCATGCCCCTCGTGGTACATTTATGAGTTTCCCATAGAATCACGGGTGAAACATCTGAAGAAGCATTGTCTGAGAGGTTGTGAGTAATGGATTCCCTTAGTTCCTTATGTAGAGGCCCCTCCTGTACTATGGAAGCATTCAGTCCCAATACCAGACTTTCTGGGTCACATCACCCAATTTGAAGTATCTACAACTATGGGAAGTGCCGACTGAGGGATAAGAAAATAATCAGTAGGAGAGATGGGAAAGGAAGTAGTAAGTGTAATCCTTCGTATTAGGGTAGACGGACCTCGAAACATCAATCAACGTATCTCTGTAGAGAAGCTGCTTAAACCTGCGGAGAAAAGGGAATGACTTGTGAGAGGCTCCACTGGGGACATCCAATAGGGGTCCAGGGCCATGTTAAAATCCCCACCCACTATTAAGAGACCCTCTGCAAAAGATCGAAGTGTAAAACGAGCAGAGTCCAGGAAAGTAATTTGATCTTGATTGGTAAGGTAAAAATGACCTAAAGTGATTACTTTGAGTTTTTGTATGGCGCCATCCGTGCCATCACCTCGAGCACCACCAATACTTTGAAGTTATGAGACTGTAAGGAGTGGAGGTGGCATATGGAAACAAGGTATATGACTCGCATATATGTATTTCAGACTTGTATTCATTTATTTGGCCAGCTTTTAGTCTTCACAATCTCCCCTTCTGTCTAATACCCTAGCACCTAACACTTCTCCACATGGGCTGATGCTAATGAATCAGACTGTCCTGCAAGTAAACACTAACATTTAAAGTCCATGTTAAAATGGAAATACATGCTCAATTTCTTTGTTCTAAAATTTTGCCTTGCATGTGTTTTCAAAAAATAAATTGAACTGGATTGAAAATGTATACATGTCTGCAATTTATATTATGTACTAAGTGGTACATTTTTTTTTTCTCTAGGTATGTTCCTGGCTGATTTGATTGAAAAGTACTTTGTGTCACCAACACTCTTCAGAGTCATTCGTTTGGCTCGAATTGGCCGTATACTTCGCTTAATCAAAGGAGCCAAAGGAATTCGAACCCTGCTTTTTGCCTTAATGATGTCATTGCCGGCCTTGTTTAATATCGGCCTGCTACTGTTTCTCGTTATGTTTATATTTTCAATATTTGGAATGTCGAACTTTGCTTACGTGAAGAAAGAAGCAGGAATAGATGACATGTTCAACTTTGAGACTTTTGGCAATAGCATGATTTGTTTATTTCAAATCACTACCTCTGCTGGCTGGGATGGCTTGTTATTACCCATCTTAAACCGCCCCCCAGACTGTGATCCTAAGAAGGAGAATCCAGGAAGTCCGATGCAAGGTGATTGTGGAAACCCCTCTGTAGGAATCTTTTTCTTTGTCAGCTATATCATCATCTCCTTTCTCATTGTAGTAAACATGTACATTGCTATAATCCTAGAAAATTTTAGCGTTGCCACAGAAGAGAGTGCAGATCCTCTAAGTGAGGATGACTTTGAAACATTTTATGAAATTTGGGAGAAATTTGATCCCGATGCCACCCAATTTATCCAGTTCGGTAAACTCTCAGATTTTGCTGATGCCTTGGAGCATCCATTGAGAGTTCCCAAGCCAAACACAATTGAACTTATTGCCATGGATTTGCCTATGGTGAGTGGTGACAGAATCCATTGTTTAGATATCCTCTTTGCCTTCACCAAACGTGTGCTTGGAGAGAGCGGGGAGCTCGATATGTTGCGGCAGCAAATGGAAGAGCGTTTTGTAGCTTCCAATCCTTCAAAAGTGTCTTATGAGCCCATCACTACTACGCTCAGGCGCAAACAGGAGGATGTATCAGCTGTACTTATACAGCAGGCCTACAGACGCCATTTAACCAAACAAGGTTTTGTTTGCAGAAAACCTTCGTCAACTAAAATGGAAAACGGAGGAACAAATATGGACAGAAAAGAAGGCACCCCTTCTACAGCATCGTTGCCATCATATGACAGTGTAACTAAACCCGAAGTGGAAAAACAAGAAAGAATACAAGAAGCAATGAGAGAGAGAGCAAAAAGACAAAAATCTGTCAGGGAATCCAAGTGATGAACAAAATGTTAGTATTTCTCATTTGCAAGCAAAGATTGTTTACAAATTTAATAATTATATCAATGCAGATCAGCTATGGAGACACTTTTCTGAAGATCAATACCAAACAATCTGCTTAATATGACATTGTTGCATTTTAAGGCAGTGACGCACCATCTGGATAAAGGACAAACACAAGGAAGTTGTACTGCATGTCTCCCATCAACCAATGCAACTTAGGAGAAGCGAGAAGAGCTGCGAGGAATAGTCCAATTCCAGTGCAGCCAGAGGGAGTTTATTTTCTCATATTATTCTGAAAAAAAAAATCAGAAAAAGCACCACTTAGGGATGTGATTATTCATGCAAAACTATATTTGCATTGTTACCTTAGTCAAGCAGCAAAACAAGACAAAATTTAAAAAAACACAAAATCTGGGGGGAAACAAAAAAAAAAACATTAAGCCCATGCCACGTATTTGTCACAATTTATTTGATATATCTGCATAATTTTTCTATGGGCTTCATGTGATTCGGGAGATGGGAAAATCGGGTTATTTTTCTGGCTGAAGGGCATTTGCTCAGGCCAATTCCAAAAAGAAAAAAAAAATTAAATAAATTGTGCTCGTTCAATGCATAGAAATGACTTGCATGATGGCATGCTGTGATCAGGAATCATGCATGAAGACTCATAAAACACAAAACATCAGTTCTCGGTCCACTGCAGTGGGATAGCCATAAGTTTGAGGCACTCCACTGAATACTGAACACTATATCTGGAGGTAACTTAATATATACCCTTCACTAATATTTACCAAATCTTCAAACTTTTACACATCATGGTTAGGGATTAAAGCAAGAGAGAACGATTTGTGTATGTTTATTAACGATTCTTTAACTTCACTTTTGCACATTATACAAACAAACAAAATGAGAAAAAAAAGAAACTAGTTGCTGCTTAAGGTTTCCTTTACTCGGGTACTATAAAAAATAGAAATAAAAGACAAGAAAATAGCTTTTAATATACTATGTCACTGTAAACCAAAATCTAGGGCTTATGAAATTCTGCTTTTTGTATTTTGCAATGTTTTTAGTCTTCATTCTACAGAGGGCATATATTTAACAGAAGCAAAGCTGCAATATACAGGTGAAACTCGAATAATTAGAATATCGTGCAAAGTTAATTTATTTCACGAATGCAACTTAAAAGGTGAAACTAATATATGAGATAGACTCATTACATGCAAAGCAAGATAATTCAAGCCGTGATTTGTCATAATTGTGATGATTATGGCTTACAGCTCATGAAAACCCCAAGAACCCCAAATTCACAACCTCAAAAAAGTAGATTATTACATGCAATCAATAAAACAAGGATTGTACATAGAACAATATCGGACCTCTGAAAAGTACAAGCATGCATATGTACTCAGTACTTGGTTTGGGCACCTTTTGCTGCACAGACTGCAATTACTTTTGCACGATATTCTAATTATTCGAGTTTCACCTGTATATTGACAGAGTAAAGATCATGGCACCGGGATGTGTTCTGTGCAATTTGCTTATACTTTTGTATAGGCAGTGTTTTCAGAAAAAGATTGTTTTGTTTCAATTGGGACAATTCACTGCTTAGCACTTTAAATGGCATGTTTCACTTTGCCCTCCACTTTGAGTTGTATTTTTTTCCCTTTTGTTTACAAAAATGTATTTACCACTATATTTATAATGATAAAATATGACAGTGGTTGGAATAAAAGGTAAAGTTCAAATGACAAGGTCCAGAGGTGTAACAAAGCGTGAAATGTAACACAACAAATGTACACATTTCATAGTAAACTACTGAAGATTTTTTTTTTTTTGCAAATATTTTTCTTCACTTTATATTTTTTGGGGTTTTTACTTTTAGTATTAACAGTGACTAAGAATGTCTAAGGCCATAAAATTAAGAATGTGTTAAATGAATATTTTGTCAAGAAATGTTGTCAGTATATAATTTACGTTTCAGTTCTCAAGTATTTTTAGTTTTTTTTGTATTAGATTTTTTTAGTATCATTTGACACCTGGCTGGTGCTGCAGTAACATTATGCAAAAAAAAATGAAGGCTTGCTGTGTTCTGTATTTTAATAGCTGATGCTGCTGAAAATGCTACGGAACCGTGTGTTGTAAATGTGGTCAAAGAAGAAAGCTGTTTTTGGTGTGGACCAAATTATTACCTGATATCTAACCAACCCACAGAATGCATGAAATATCATACTGTACACTCATTTGTTACTAGTTCATGACTCGATTTTCCGTTGAAGCCCACTTTAACATTTCCAGCCATACCTCTGTGCCAAGGGAAACACTTCCTAGTCTATTTTAAATGCAGTGGCATAGGTGAGCATAAAAAAAAAGGAAAATCTGAAGAAGGAACAGTTTCTAACTTCATAGCGTGTTTCTATTTATTTCTCTCCATTTACAGCTGAAATATTATTATATATCAACTCCATACATGTGTACAGGCTTTGTTGTAAACAGCACAAAAAGCTGAAAAGTGTGGTTCAACTTTTTAAGAGGATATTATAAATGCTGTAAAATATCATTTTATTTTATTGACTTTTTTTGTAAATACAGAAAATATGACAAATTAAACAAAACGGCTTCTGGCGTACACCATTGTCATCTTTATCATTTCTTTTATATTTATTTTGTAAAATGCCAGAATGCTTTAGTGTGAACTGTATAGCTCAGATGATGTTACACCATTAAGATTAACACATCATCTGTTCTCATTCCAGTGTGCAATAACAATTGACCACATCTATGCAACATTTGCCTAACCTTCATATAAGTATATTTATGCTGTGACAAGCCAAGTTGTTTTTATATAGCCACTTGCAACAAATTGCTGAGGCTGGTGATATCACAAAGCTACATTTTTCTACCAAAACCAGATATTTCAGTTATAGTTGGACAAAGGTGGGCTGGAGCAAACGCTGGTTTCTTAGGTCTGCCACTATGCAATCTGTTAACCAGAGGTCTTGGCACAACCATAAGCTGCAATCATTATGAAGGCAAGCAGGAGAGTTTATTTCCTGCTACATTCTCCATAAATTCTGGTTCTTCTCTCAAGCCATGCCATGCCAAGCCAAGTTTTTTCTGCTGCTGAATGGGATTTAGAACTAAAGCCATCCAAATAAACACTTGTAGAGCACTGTAAGAAAAGAGGGATCATTGTTTAAAAAAAAACAAAACGTTTTCCTTTTACTTTTCTTTCCATGTCACATGTGTTCATGTCTCCTTGCACTGTGCACCTGTAGACTCTTTGTATGACACTCTGTGTTGGCATAGCTGCTTTTAGTCCAACACGGAAGCATACAAAAAATGTGACAATGAAGCTCCTGAGTAAGCATTCTCCTCCTAAAAAAGAAAGTGCCACTGAATACAACATGTACCAAGTATGATTTAATTGAAAGGAAAGAATATAGAAAAGGGTTGAACTTTTTGACATTGCAGGTACATGTGGCAATACAGATTTGGCATTTTGGTATAGATGCATATTTAATGCTTCTTCAGCATTCATAAATGAAAAGCGAGAAAACAATAAACCCCACAATAGAGGCAGCATCACCCTGGTGGACTCTGATACACAGAGATCTCACATCTGGAGTCACATGAAAAGCCATTGAGTGATGCAACCTGCTGTAAACATAATTGTTGGGTTCACTGACCCTTTAAGTATATCTTTATTTAAAATGTATAGTCCATACAATGTAGTAAGGCAATGAACCCAAATATCCCATCTTAATTTTAGAATCATGTAAGCAAATGCTGGCCTCTAGCTTTGTTTATTTAGAGTGTAGGTAGCAGAGTGACGCCATCACCAGCAGAAATGTGGCAGTAAAAAGACACTGATAAATTTGATGTTTTCGGGGTTTTTTTGTATGTCTTTAAGTTGGGCAAGGGAAAGAGTGATGAAAAAATGAAGCTTCACTGAATAAAAAAGTACCAATGCATTGTGTAGTCTGTCATGCACTATTTCTCCTATACCCAGAAGAAAATAAGTTGACTTTATTATAAAAGAATTAATAGGCAACCCCACCCCATACTATGTGAGATGTACGTGGTAAGTTGAATTGTGTGGTGAATTCTTATATTTCTTTATCACTTTAAGGACAAGATATTTCTGTATGATAATTGCCACTTCTTCACTACTGTCACAGTTGTTACAAAGGCAGATTATGAAATTATGACCAATTTTAGATTCTTCATAATATAGAAGCAAAAAAAAAAACATTGGAATCTTGCTGCAAGAGAGAAATCTTTATGGTTGGGTATAAAGACAATTGACAGTAAGGGAAATCTCTCTGCTGGATTCCCAAAGAAAGGTAAGCAGTTTATTTAATCCACTAATGCATGCCAAAGTACAGAATACTAAAACACTTGTAGAATTTACAAACATTAATAAAGGCACAGTGGGAAAGGGAGAAGATACCTGGTCTTTGGGGAAATATTTATTTGGCTATCTAAGTGCAAGGAGTGTATCATTAGTGCTATAATTATATCAGAAAAGGACTATACTGGGAAATACCAGATGCTCTTTTTGATTACCCTATTCAGCTTAGATAAGGTTTTACTAGCTTTGCCACTTATTGTTCTACCACTGCTAATTACTATCCACCACTGCAAAACTTTCCATTCATCCAAAGTGTTGAGATAGGCATTCAGCATCCATATTTATCGGACTTCCTGCCACTGCACACATTAGTATCTAACAAAGATATAAACTTCGTGTAGCAATCTTTTCTCACATATTATAAAGATCGTATATTACATTTGGTTCCAAAAATGGAAAATTGGGCAACATGCTGGTATTATTCTTCAAACTGTTTTGTCATTTCTTATTTTAGTTTCTTCTTCATTTTTATATGGTTGTTGAAACAATGTGTCAAGCAATGTAAGGGGACAAAAAAAAAAAAAAAGAGTAAATAAAGATTAATCATGTGTTTGGAAAATACATGGTTGCTGATGCTAACTTACTCATTCTTAATTTTAAAAGATGTACCTGTTGACTGTGTTAGTGGTACCTGTATGTGATGAGAACATTCTGTGAACGTCTAACCACAGGGATCATGAAAGGGTGTCTGTAACTTTACCCTCATCAGTGCTTAGCAGTACGGGTACGCCTGAAAAACCCATGCTGCTGTTAGGTTGGCTGCCACCTTACCCGAAGCATCCAGAAAATGCAGGTAAAGTCACAGCTTCACTTTATGTGCTGCCACCTGAAGATGGCGCTGTTCCATCTTCAGGTCTCGTAGCCATCAGATTCAGAAAAGAAACCTACTTAAAGTGTATTTCCACATCCGCCGCCAAATTGGGACAACACTTATTTGATATTTGTTACATGTTCCCATTCGCATAGCAGAAGCTAAAAACAAAAATACAAAATGGTTGCAGGTTAAATAGCTTTTACTTGGGTTAGGGTTTTATGGGTTACAATTTCTTTGAGCTTCTATTTCTTTTAAATGTTAAGAGGGACTGTGATGAGGGGTCTCATCCATTCATTCAGAGCTGGCTTCTCCATTGTGTGTTAATGAAGCTTATCAGATAAACACAATCC